AACAGGATGTTTTCATTAATTAATCTTGAATTTACCATTTTCATGTTCAGACTTCAGTAGTGAATACCATGTTCTGTCTATATCAACTGAACAAGAAGCAATATGCTATTGTCTCCGTTCAGAAGAATGCAAGCAGATTCCTTGATTTTTCTCTTCTGGTAAAAGAAGATAACAAAATTTGGAATAATGAATGTACCACCTTCTCGATTAACCTACAGACAGTATCTAGTTATGTAATAAACTATTTTGTTTTTCATGAGTACCCATGAAATCATTCACACAATTTTTATGACACGCTAGTGTATGTTATTTTTTCAGGGTTTACAAATGGAATTCGGATATCAAATGGGAAACTCCTGACGACATCTCCTATTTCGCCTACACGAGATTTGAGTTTGATAAAGAGGCTTCTGGGAGCTACAGTGAAGAGGATAAAGTGACGATTTTGAATATTCCATATCTAGTAAGAATGTATGCATGCTTGAATTGATGCATGAAAAGTGCCGCGTAGTCGTTATTGAAATTTCGACCTTTTCAACAAACAATCCTTGAGTATCTGAATATTTCAGATATGTCCACATTTTCTAAGAGAATTTTTGTTTCTGAAAATCGTTCAGCAAATTCCAAATTAGGAGGGTTTTGCGAGTTGAAATGGCACACTCTGTATATATTTCATCTCAAAATCCCCGAATTTCACACTTGCGTCGTTGTTCTTTCAAGGGTGCACTATCTTTCCTGTGAATGACAATAATATGACTTCTATAATGCTATTTTTCATTTTGGGCCCTATGTTGAAACTGTTCAATATAAAGTATCAATTTCAAACACTCTGTACAGTGCTTCAACGTAACGAGTCACATACTTTGTACGATATAAATAAAAATCAGTTGGCAAATTAGTAAAATAGTTGAGTACTGATTCGTACCTGCTCCATTGACTTCCAAGCTATTTTTGTTTGGATAATCGATCATTTTGTATAATTTTCTTCCTTTTACAACATTTACACAAGTCATGGTAATTTTTTGATAATATTAACTAGGTGCATGAATCTTTGTTTCTCAATAGCAACAAAGACGAGTGCTAATCTAGCTAAATTTATTTAAAAAAATAACCATCATGAATGTTACTCGGCGTGATTATTCTCAAACTATTTCGCAAAATTCCCAGCGAAAACGAACATTTTACAGCCACAGCACACTTCGGTTTTGGGTCATTTTTGTTCGAACAGACTTGTTCGTCGAGATCAAAACGTGTAAAATTATCACTGTAATTTGCTACTAACAAATTATACAGGGTGGCCCACGGTCGATGCTACCTTAGACGTATACGGAAAACGGTACATTGGATTATCCTGAAAATTTGGTTACTCTAATAAGCGTTTGTGATCTAACGATTCCAAATATTTTCAGCGAAGCAGCGTTGCCACTTTTACCAAAAAGTAGCATCATCTTTGTTATTTCAAATGGAACACCCTGTATTTTATTGCGTTTTTAGATTCTTCTCGGAGAGCTGATTTCATCAATGCATCACACTTGGGGTCTAGCAGGAATTATTACAGAGATATAGGGTGTTCAAAATCGAGATTTTTCAACTTTAGGATTTTTTGTATCGAAACTATTCATCATTGGTCAAAACGGCTTACATGTCCCTGTATTGACTTTTGATTAACTATCTACCGACATTTAATTGGAAAAAATACAGGATGGTCCAAGATTCAGAATTTTGATCACCCTGTATCTGTTTCAATTAAATGTCAGTAGATAGTGAATCAAAAGTTGAGATAGGGACATGTAAGACGTTTTGATCGATAATGAATAGTTTCGACACAAAAAATTCCTGAAATTGAAAAATCTCGATTTTGAACACCCTATATCTCTGTAATAACTCCTGCTAGACCCCAAGTGTGATGCATTGATGAAATCAGCTCTTCGAGAAGAATCTGAAAACGCAATGAAATACAGGGTGTTCCATTTGAAATAACAAAGATGATGCTACTTTTTGGTAAAAGTGGCAACCCTGCATCGCTGAAATTTTCAGGATAATCCAATGTACCGTTTTCCGTATACGTCTAGGGTACCATCGACCGTGGGCCACCCTGTATAAGTATGATACCAACAGGGTGTCTACTAAACTACCCTCTTCTTATAATTTGTCATTTCTGTTCCATTTCAATCTGCTCAAAGGATGTGACATGTCTTGTTGAACTGGTGTACCTAATAGATTTGAAATCGATATCTTAGGAAGTATCTACTCGAGTTATTAAAAAAAGGTTGAAAACTCAAAAATTTGGCATCAAACATGAGGGCTTCGAATGCAAATGGCAGTATGAAAACCATAATTATTGTTTCAACCCCTATGCAAAAGCTACAGAATGGGTGCGGGGTTAATTTTTCAACATCAAATTTGATAGTTGAAATTGTTCCTCTCTGTATATGTTATCTTCACGAATTGCATGCATGAAACAAATCATGATTTTATAATACTTACAAACAATATCTTGAATCATATGGCATCCAACATCCGCAAAAACGCGCTAGAAAACTCATTAAATTTCATATTTTGTGTCTCAGATGGAATTTATTTATTATAATTATTGTGTCACGGAAGCTACCTTTTTAAATTCACATGCAATTATTATTGATTTGCGAATCGTGATCAATATTTAGCATTTGCTTCCACTTTCCTGCAAACATCAGGTTAGGTGGCGTCTAAAGTGGAAGGTCACTTCTCAGACGCAGATCATGTCTCTATTATTTTTATGCTTGAACGACCGAGCGTAAAGTAGCACTTCAATTAGCGCCTTAGGGACAGAGATATTTGGTCTCTGGCTATCGAGTTTGAATCACATAACAACAAACTCATTTGGTTCCAATATTTTTTGTCGATGACATGATTGGTTCGTTTTAGAATAGAGGCAGATTGACTTGAAACGTGCGTGTTTATACACGCAAAAAAAAGAATGGTACAAACTACAAGAATCGCTGTAAATCTTACCACGAACAACTTCAAGAATAGGGAAATATACTAGTTGAAAACGTTAGAACAACCAAACTATCTGCAACTAGGAGTCGTGGTAAAACTAAATGCGAAAAGTTTAAATCAATCAATCAATCAACACGGCATCCTGATGGTGAAATTTACCACGAATATATTTAGTGAAACACCATAGGGGGAGTATTTGATACTATATGACCCACTAGTTAATCTGATTTTGTGATTTTCACCAATCAAGCTGTTGAATTCAACTGGTAAAGTATATGGTATATCTAGATTGCCGCACCATTGGGACTGAGTTAATTAAGAGGACATTCATGTTGAATATCAATTTCGAAATATTTATACGACGATCTATCGACTTCTATAGTTTTGTAGGCCAGCTCAAAGAAAAACTGTTGACTTTATTTTCACATCAACTGGAAATCATATATCGAACCTGACAAGATTGGAAAACTGATGCAATTTGTTGTATGTACCTACGTAGTCGGAGTGTCTCAAGTTTTTATTAATTTTTTCACCTCGTTCCTGAAATCATATAAAAAATTCGAAGGTAAACCAAAATATAATTCAACAGATTCTTATACATATAATATAAGTGATTATGTTACCTATACGGTGATAAACTGAAAAACTGGCTAATCAAGTTTCCATTTCTTCAATATGATGGTCCTATAGTATAGTATACCTAGTCCCTATACCATCCTGTAGCTGATGCGTAGCTATATACCGACATACCGACAAACTTTAAGGGATGGTAGAGGACATCAAAATAAACATTTTTACTCGATAAACATGAGTCCGGAAACTCTTCGTTTTCTAGATACAGGGTGTTAAAATTTTTTTAAAAAATCGATTGTTTGTTAATATCGTAAAAACGATTTAGTCGAATTAAATGAAATTTCCACAGATTATTGATACATACATAAGGTATCTTTTGGAGCTATTAGAATTCGCCCAATAATTTCAGGGGCGTGCCCACGGGCTATGTCGGATAGTTTTTGCGCAAAAAAATATCGCCCAGTAGATTTTTTGTGATTATGATAATTTTTTTTAAATGAACAACTAGAAACGCAACTTCTTTGTCACTTGAAATTTTTCCGTATCTACCTTCGTTTTGAAGAAAAAAAAACCATATCTCTTACATCTATGAAAAAAAAAATTAAATGCTTCAAAATCGGTATATTTATGGGACATCCTGTATAGTATAGTATTTATGGATACTTCGCGGATAGTCTGAAGCCTAGTGTGTTGAATGGTCGTTCATACAAAAAATGTACCTTATCCTAATTCCTCAAAAATACGAGTGATTACTCAAATTTTATTATTTGCATAAATACTCATAGGTCGTCGAAGTTTCACAAATGTTGAGACTTTCGACGAAAAACATAATCTTAGTCAACGATGTGTGGTGTAATTGACAATTAAAATATGCTGCTGATGATGGACTATTGATAGTCCGAAACATGTACAGATACTGATTATTCAGTCAATAAATTTTGTGGAGATGACTTTGTGTGTCTTGTTTATGAATCTATTCACTCCACTTTGAGATACCATGGACTTTTACCATAGATTATTTAACTTAGTTAATAGTAGTCCGACCGAGTGTGTAAAAGTCACCATCATCGCCTCCTAATTTCAACATCTGAATAACAGTCAATATGTTGTATTTTCCTGACTATTCCATTCTCGTTCTTGAGATCCAGAATCAGAATCGACCATTTTCACGAGTATTCCAGCGATATTTTTTGTTTACTGATATTTATCAGACTTGCTCTACCAATACAGAAGCCAAATTGACCCACCCACATGTGACCAACCAACCTCGTTTTTCAGCGGAAAAATTGTTGACGTTGACAACGTCAATTATGTTGGAAGCCAGAATGATGGATGCAGTGGGCGCAACTCTCGCGAGGCGCTCGTTTATTATTGTCTCAATCATGAAATATTCATACGAATACAACTCGTGACGCTATTTTTCCTGCAAAAATAATCGTCGATTGATATACTCCAGCTTGCCAAATATTTCCAGCAGAAAAGTATCACTTGTGGTATTACATATGACAAAAGTGACTCATTATCTTTTGCAGAGTATGCTTTTAAAAGTGGAGGAAACGCAAGCTGGGGCACTGCCTCTGGTGGAAGAAGTCCTTCCGGACATCTTCGGCAAGAACGACGGGCTGTTCATCCGGGTGAAAGTGAAGGACTACCTTTTCGACGGTCTCAAGATGTGCGAAAATGGCGGCAAGGGCGGCGATTTCACAGCCGGGTTGGTTTGCAAGCAGGTCATGGCACAAGTGGATAACGCGAAGAATATGAGAGTGGAGAATAATTCGGTACTCTTCGCCAATTTGCATTATGTAAGTGTGCAATTCAATGGGTTTCTTATCTGGGAATGAGCCTTTCCAGTCATTTCTAGAAGAAATATTTCTTGGAATATATGGCTCTGGAATACCTTACGACATTTTTTTTAGAGATCTATCGTATGAAAAATGATTGGAAACGCCAAAATAAATGAGCTAATTCAAACGATCAGACATGGCGGCGAAACTTGTGACGTCAGTGCGCCAGCAATTTGGATTGATAATTCCCTGACCCTCTTGCGGGTGCCAATAACATGCACGATGGATTTGACAATGTTGCCAATTTGGACAGAAAGCCATGATTAGTCGAATATTCATTCCGACATTTTTTCATTTTAGCAAATAATACAGATTCTGTTAGATAACTCAACTAATAACTACTCACCTGAACATTCGTGGTATTGAAAATTTGCATTGAATGATTAGTTAGTTGGTTGACTTTTGTTGGAGAATCATTCAAAATTGTTAGTGAAATTTCATTTTGTATTGAATTACAGTACTATTATTCATGACATTCAGTTTCAAAACATGAGAAAGAAAAGCTGATCTGCAGACGATAGGTTTTCCATTTTTTTAGGTCGAGGCACTCCAATTGATTGTTGAAAATCAGAATCAATATGAATATTTTACACAATTATGAAATCAGATATTATAAAGAATACTATGGAAACATTTTCGGATTCTTTTCTGAATGAGAGTAATAGAGTTACCTCCTTTGACCATACATTTTGTGTTTTCTTCAGATCCACAGTGGGAAACATAGACATTTTACAGAAATGCAAATTTTTGAATTCATTCCAATCATATGGAAAAAAATGTTTTTTTTTATGATTATGATTGCTTAATGTGCTTCGCTTGAACTGTTTCGAGATTTTTTCGCTAGCGAACGAAAAGTTGACCAGTTCTCGAATTCTACACGACTGCCAAATTTGAATCTCATGCCTTAGAAACTCTGGAAATCATGGCTTGTCTAGAATGAATTCGTTGACACGCGTTATAGATAATAATAAGTTGTGTAAAACTAGGCATAAAAATAATGTTCGTGAAGCCACCACTCTAGAAGTAACTCCATTCAATGAAAGATTTGTAAAGATTACTTCTGATGCCCAAGTAACAAAAGATTTCAATTGTGTTTTCAAATCAGAAAGGATGAACGTAGATTCAGTGCTAAAAATGACATTCATAGTTTTCTGGGCAACCCTATAGATATCCCTAATGATAGCATGCATTTATGAATTTATTGTAATGACTGTAACATGAAGTATATTAAAAAAACACGTTGAAGCATACGCACGAGTTTTGAGGAACATATCTCTAAACAAAAAATACTTCCAGAGAAACTTAGATACTTCAATTTGGGGATTCATCTTTTTTTTCAACTAAACAGAAAAAACGTGTGGGCAGAGAATACAATTTTTTATATACAATAATGCAAGGTGTGATATGAAATTGTATAAGTATCAACTTATATTGACCCAAATATACAGTCGTACAAAAAATATTGTTTTCTCTCGATGAACAACATTATCATTTATAATTTATTTTTTCAGAAAAACAATACACATTTGGGCAGATTCACTATAAAAGCCGGCATCAAAAATCGCGAACAAACGGCTCATCTAGTTAGTTACAATAACCAATCGTACCTTTCTGTTTGGCAAGGGGAAAAATCTATTTGCAATAAAATAGAGGGATTGATGACTACAGTATTTCCTGTGAATATAGAAAAAGACATGGTTTTCGAATCATTTGCTGAGGATATCTGTAGGTGAGTTCTTTAACAATGCAAACATTGCCGATTAATTTGAAACGTAGCGATGAATAATTTTGCTCTAATTTACTAACCTGATATTTTTAGATTATTAAATATATAAATATTATCATTTTCAAGTTTTTCGTACAATTAAACTTCATTTCAATAATTATTTTGCGAAGCATTTTCGACTAACGTCTCCAGTGCTTCTTGGGAGTGAATACTATACATTTCTGCAATCTTCTCCTGAAGATGCAAACATAGTTAGGTAACACGTATAAAAATCGGTTTGGTTATTGGTAAAACAGTTTAGTGCTGTGATTATCCTGTCAAAGTTTCCAGTCTCCTATATGTATACCTGGATTTCTGGTTGGAATTGAGAAATTGAAAATATAGAACAATTCTGAGTAAAAAAATTGAAATAGTACTGTGACATCTAGATCTCTCGGTGAATAGTAATAATATGGTAAAAATTAGTCAATATAACGTCAAACAACCATTACTGACGTCTCTGGGACTCCTATAGTGAGGATCATAACAATGTTCCTATATATAAAGTCAGTTTTCAAATTTGATGTCATCGAGATATTCCTTCTTCGTAGAATCGATCATTGATTTCCAATCATTCCGGTATGGATAACAGGGAATATTGATGAATAAACTTATCTCAAGTATCATATGTTGAATTTTAGAGAAGAATTATACAGAAATGTTGATTATAGCCACCTCTCACCCTTCAGTTAGAACGACTCCATGAAGATTTTTTCAGAATATTCTGAAACCATTTGATCAAACATGTTTTATTGAACGTCAAACAGTATTATTATTATTATATATAGAATGGAGACCACTCTAATCGATATACAAACCGGATGACCTTGAACCAATTTACCCCCTGTATGTTCTTTGCTATTTTGTGTAGATTTTTCAAATTTGGTAGATCGATTTGATTTCATGCGTGTATAAATTTGCTAGCATCGCTAGTATTACCTATAAAATTTAGTATTTTATTGCGTCAGATTTTGCACTGCCAATTATAATTACAAATCCATGGGAAAAACTAAATGCCAACTAATATGGAGTTGAACGGTTCAATAAGTAGGTTGATTATATTCATCGAAACTAAATAGGTGACAGAATATTGAAATTTTTTCCTGTCTTGCAATTCAATGTGTATGGGAGTTTCTAACCAACTTCAAAAAAGTCTGATAGCATCTGAAAAAATTTTGTTGAAAAATAAAGAACAACTAACATGGTAAAAGATAGTTAGTGTGCATATTATTATGTAAGAACTTTGACATCTAATTATTGTTACTCGCATGGCTATTGTTTCATTATCCATAGCATACTTTCATGAAAATATTTCTTTACGAGGGGGATACAAAATGTAATTTTTCGTAAAATCTCAATTACCTACCTATATGACTAGAGATTGTGGATTGTGAATATGATTGTGATATACAAGAAGGTCATTTTATATATCCAGAAAAAACTTATACTTCGTATTTGAAATAGAAGAATGGGATGCACTTCCAGTCGAACTGGAAGTGTCATATCAAAGCAATCATACACTCATGCAATCAAATCGATGTACCAAATTTGAATCGTCGATTCGGAATAGCAATAACGAAGATACAGGGAAGTAAACTGCTGCCGTCACCCGGTATATTGGATAATTCGAAAACGTGTTTCACTTCTCTTATGTGGTAACAGAATATCTCTCCTAGAATTATGGATTATAGACAGTATTCAAATATAGAACATGATCGATTAGAGCAAGTTGTGTTTTGATTAAAATACATTTGTCAATAATGGGGTGATTTTCCTTATGAACCAGATAGCGTGCTGGGTCTCCATTACTAGCTATGGTACACATCAGTTCGTTGAATAATTGAGAAATAAAACTCATTCGAATTCATGTATAGATACTTGATACAAAAATCGATATTAATTAAATTATTTGAATGAATTGAATAATTGAACAGGCAGCTGTATTATACAAAATAACATTTTGCATGGAATCATGGATACTTGGCCTATGGTCAATTATCTAATATCTGGGGAGACAAGTTCACCAATGAATGAAATTGATTGATTTCAAGTCTGTGATCTCATGTTTTTCCTGGTGTTATCTTCTATTGAAGTTTCCAAATTTTACTGGTGGGATTCAGTAATGATAGGAAATAAAAATCAGTGACTGGCTGTATGGACCCTGTAAAAAAAAACTCTGAGACTATATTTTGGGAAATTGGTCTCTAAGATTGAGAGTTAATCGAATACGTATGCTAGACATATAGCAAAAGAGCTATCGCTTCATCACGACACATCTATTTCAAACATTTTCGTGGTAGTTTCCTGAAAATATCACACTGAGAGAAAACTTGAGTTATCATAATTGGAAATCTGATAACCGTTATTACGATATCTGCAATAAATAGGGGACAGATGTATTCATTTGCTACCATTATCTATCTTGAGGTAACGCAGTAATACGTCTCATTTTATTATAGTTATCTGATATCTGCATGAAACCTGACATTTCGACATGCTATTGTAATATAGCTCATTTTCAACAGTTATCCCAATATTTTTCTACTATAGTATATTCATCAAATAGTGGTAATAAGGTTATCTAATCAACATTATTATGAAACCGTGCTTTGAATTACTGCAATGAAAATAAATATCCTATCCACACTATCACTTTTCATGATCCAAAGTAATTTTTTTCAAAAAAAACAAAAAAATACGTTTTTCTACATTCATGCAAAAAACAGAACTTTATTGAACTATATTTAGTGGAAAACGAAGTTCTTTATTGCACTTAGTGCAATAAAATTTTTATTGCACTCATATGTCATTCAACGTGCTGTCATCATGACAAACATTTTCTATATTGCAACTGTGGTTATAGAAACGTCAGTCAAAAATTAATTCTGACAATTAACAGAATTGTACCTGGTGCCGCACCTCAATAAATCATTTTTTGCTTTTTGCATGAACGTAGAAAAAATATTGTATGCAACTCGTGCAAAAATTGTTTATTGCATCCGACGTGAAATTGTCCGACGAGGCCGTTAGGCCGAGTTGGACAACATTCACTTTTTGCACTTGTTGCGAAGTTTTTTGACATTACTCATTGATTTTTTTTGGAGAAATATCATCTATATGCATTACCGACGAATTTATTAAGAAATGAGAAGTTGAATACTTATATTTACCCTTCCTTCGGAGTTATGATGAGAATTGTCAATAAAACTTCCCTAACAGAAACCCAGATATTTTGATTCAGAATCTGATCGATCATTTTGTTTTTGAAATAAACCAATTTTAGGCCGTGAAAAGTGGGTATGGAGAATACTTTTTTCATTGCAATACATAATGCAATGCACGGTGTATTCCACAGGTCGGTTCACAGCCAGCACTAAAACAAAACTTTGCTACATTACCTACAAGACACGGCTCTATCGATTCGGACGATCGAAACCATTGAACAATAATAATTGAACACGGGCACCCATGACCGAGAACAGCAGTGAAATGAACGCGATCTGTATCTTTGTCAGCCCCAATACTAATGAAACACTAGAGCGAAATGAGCCGAATTACGATTGTCGAATGATTGCCTAATAACCGTCATGCATGTGAATTGCTAGAGTTATTCGTCAACGTACAATGCTAGAAACCCAAACAGCTATTATTATTGGGACAAACATTATCTGAATTCGCCAATGAGCATAATTCACAAAACGAGCTATGTCAATAAAAAATCTAAATAGACTGGAATTTATAAAATTATCATAATGTCATAACACACCTGCGTTATGATGGTAGCAAATGTCCATTCAAGGATATTACAAATGATTTAGGAAATCGCTTTTTATAACTACAGAATGGAGAGAATACTGTTGTAATAATAAAATGATCAGGAATAGGAGATTTCCTTATAATGGTTATTACAATCAGAGCTGGTAGATAATTTCAATATCCAGTTTCTCTCAGTGCATATCTGACTGAATAGAATTCAGCTCTGCTTATGATAGCTCTTGATGACGTCGAGCATTATATCTCTCATACTCTCAACAGCCATAAGAGCATAACCACAAATCGGTACAAGAGTATCTACAAGGGTATCTCAGAATTAGTGGACCAGGGTATATCTGGAAGACTGTCGATTCGAAAAAAATAGTCACATTGAATAAAAACCAACTCTTACTCAACAAATTCTTGAATCACCGTTTTTGATTTTGATATTTGATTCATTATTGACATTTCCAATTCCAATAACCTGTGCATACCGTGTGGAATACTGACATGGAACGAATTCTGAATTTTTATATCGACTAAATAAGTAGTTTCTGGAAATATTCAACAATAGTCAACAAGTCGTTTTATTTTGAATCATTTCAATTCCTATCACTAATATATATATTGCTCTAAAGTCTCGTAACTTTGAGAAATTAATGGGCATTTAAATGATATGAACAATATTCATTCCAGATGTCATTGCTAGCCGAGCCGAGCCCATATTTCGATATCAATTCTGGTGGAGTTGATTTGTGGAGTTGATGTTCAGTACACTATCGCAATATGATAAATTTTTAGTATTTCCATAGAAATTGTTATGATTCCTTGTTATGAATGTTCTATCAAATCGTTCTGCATAATTATTTTGAGTAACGTAAATACTTTCACTCCACACTGAATTGGTGTCAAAAATTCTTATCCAATGAGATGCCATAATCCCATTAAGGAAAATTGTTGCTTACTCAATAATATTATGATTATCACTGGTTTTCCAGGAGAATGTCACTAACTTATCAAATGGATGAGACAGTGAAAGGACTCGTGGGATACAAATTCACTGCGAAGAATGATTCTTTCAGCTCGAAAAACAAAAATAATTCCTGCTATTGTACCAATAAGAGTAAGCTACTACATGACGAGATGGGATGTGTAAAAGATGGGATAACAGATTTGTCAACATGCACAGGTAATTTTGTTGCCGCCTCAGTAAAAAAAGAGGTGTTCATCGTCACAGATTTTGAATACATATTTCACTTGGCTGTCCAAAGGAAAAACTTTTGTATTATGTGTCTTTCCTACCTCATTGACTGAAAATGTCTGCTCGCCAAGTTCTTTCCTGAGAATATTGTGACAGGATGGGATGTGAAGATGTATGAAGACTGTTTTTTTCTACTCTCGTTACAGTTCCCATAACCGTTCAATGAAGGTGTTTTTCCACGCTTCTTTTATATCCAAATTATTCCAGAAGGTTGAAAATGAGCTCTGTAAATCGATTCAACGATGTTTAACAACTTCTACAAATCCATTTCCAGCCATACGTATTTCTACCAGAGTTTTTTGACTGACTGAATTAACTCACACAAACCAACCAAAATACAGTCCTGGGAGCAACTGACAAAACAAATTTCGAATCTATGACACCAACCATCAATAATGGAGATGACAATACCACCTGTACGTGGCTGAATACAGTCCTAGGAGCAACTGACAATACAAATTTCGAATCCATGACACCAACCATCAATAATGGAGAAGACAGAACCACCTGTAGATGGCTGAATACAGTCCTGGGAGCAACTGACAATACAAATTTCGAATCTATGACACCAACCATCAATAATGGAGATGACAATACCACCTGTAGGTGGCTGAAGAACATGTTACAGGGCAGTCATAGGGCAGTCGACATAATTTGTGGACTAACTGCTGAAGATTCAACAATCAAGGCATTCCAAGTATAATAGCGATATCATCACACTCATTGTCAGAAGGAAAGCCTGCGAGACAATTCTGCGGAAATAACACCACTTTTCTTCACGAAGAAAATACAATTGACTTGAGGAATCCAGAACTTTGTAAGGATCAAATGCAAGTGAAGAAGGAAGTCAAATGTTTCGACATAACCAAAATTAATATAATTGTATTGTGCAAACTGTGAGATAACCTCAGAAACAAAACCAACCTGGTACCTAAATTTGCAAAATGTAACCAACAAATAAAAAATTGCGCCAATCAAGACCAGGAGAATATCTGGAAATACATGGAAACTCAAACCCCACATGTTTATTGGCTCTGTGGCTAGTTCAGTGCGGTGACAAATCCCATAATACCATAGTGTAGTGAGTCAATGAGATCAGCTCCAGAAAAAAAAATACGTCGCTCGCTGTCGGTTCGCCTGATTGGTATAACACTTTAGATACTTTCATTTTCTGATGATGGGTCCAGTGCCAGACTGGCCCATCTCAGCTAAGTGAGATTTTGAAAAATTGGGGCCTCCAATGAGTCGGGCTCGTTTCAACGAATTCTTGGTAAGTATTCATTCCATTTATTTATTGGTTTTGAGTATAACATGCATCATAATGAATGGTCACGTGCAAACTCATTTCTATACTAGTGTAAGGTAGCTATTAAAAAATATAATTGAAAACATGATAAATACATTTATTGCTCAACAAAAGAGACCTAGAGAATCCAACAAAATATTTGTTTGATGATAATTGAAATTAATAATGAAATTGATTCTAAAACAAGGAACTAGATACATGATAGTACTAGTAAACTAGTATTGGAATATGAAATAATCACAGAAAGATGAAATAAACGAAATATAGGAATAATAGTTATTTATTATACAAGGAGAAGGTAATTTTGTAAGAAGTGATATTTTGTTACCTGTGAACATACAGTGTGACCCACTTCTAATGGAAGCACCCCTGTATCTTACGTAATCGTTGGGCAAGGATCCTGAAATTTGGTGGGAGTGAGAGATATACCAAAAGTGCACTCTATGGCCAAGTGGGGTCATCTTCAGTGATATACACTGCTCGTCAACAGCCATGGAACCATCCCCAAAATAGGTTGAAAATCACTTCGGATTCGGAATCAGGACGCCCAATTCATTAGCTATTCATAGTTTTCCTAGAAAATTTTCAGTTCAGAAAAATTAAATTTTGTCTCACTTCTCATGGAAGCACCCCCCCCCCACCTAATTATTGAGTTAGGGTTCTGAAATTTGCAGGAGGAAGGGCAAGTCCGAGGATAAAGTCAATTACGTAAGATACAGGGGTGCTTTTCCAGGAAAAATATGAATGGTTAGTGAATTGGGCGTCCTGATTCCGAATCTTGAGTGATTTTCGACCTATTTTAACTCCTAATATCATTTTCCGGAAATTGGGGTGGTTCGATGGCTGTTGGCGAGCAGTGTATATAACTGAAGATGACCCCACTTAGTCAAAGAGTGCATTTTTGGTATATCTCTCGCTCCAGCAAATTTCAGGATCCTTACCCAACGATTACGTAAGATACAGGGGTGGGTCACACTGTAGATAAAATGTCGAACTTTTTTCACAAATTACATTTGTTTCTGAACAAAACAAACCAACAATTTCTGAAAATGTCTTAAGTTCTGTATAAAGTTCATTTGAATTCATGATGTTGATTTTATTTCACACATTTAACAATTTATCCTCACTGCGAAATTGGAATAAGAAAACAGTTGCATGTTTCATGTTTCTGAACTTATGATGTATTTTTTTTATATAACACCTGAAAAAGTATTGTTTTCATGTTTCCCTATAATACTCGGGATCTCAAGTGAGGGGCCCCTGAGTAGGGGGGCCCCGTGAGATTTTTCTAAGACATCATTTCACTAAATGAATAATCTAAAACTAAAATTTTATTCGATATTCATAATTTAATCAACAAATTCGGAATCATATTTATTTGTAGATATAAATGATTGATGAGTTTCGATACCAAACGTAAGTGTGTAGATACATTGTTCAACTAAAAGGTATAAAATATTCAAATTATCCTATTTAAGATTCACGAATTACTCATGATTTTATAGTGGAGTGTGTGTGCATTAAGTTGTTATTAAATAATAAATTATACTCCAATATTGATTCAATGACTTATACAGACTTGAGAGATGTTTCATCAATAACCCGTTTACAATCGTGATAATTATTATAATTAGTGGATTAAATGTAATGAAAACAGACACATATCAACATAGTTATTGCATGTAGTCAATATAAAGTTAATTTGAAACAAGGTATTCTGTATTTACGTTTGGAGTTTATAGATAATAGAAAATCACATATACAATGTCACCATCCATAAAGATTCATACGGGATATTTCTATATAAGCCAATTCGATTTGAATTTCGTTTTCATCAAAGCATGTATTGAGAAATGATAAAAATAATGTTCAAACAAATATTAAAAGGTTCGATTCATCTGACTGAATTGACTTATCAGTCGTTCGTCTCCATACTCGATGCTGATCTAGTCTTATCTATTTGATACCTAATGAAACACTTTTTCTTCCATTAAATTGTCATGAATATTTATTGGTGTATTTCGTGAAAGGGTGTTGAAATGAAAGAGGGGTTCATTGAAATAAAGAAATAGAGGAAAAAATAAGATTGTAACTTTTGTTATTGAATTGGAAATGTTTCCCTTCAACATTTTCTAGAACTGCGGAACTGTATATTTACAGCTATGCATATATACCGTATATGGGTACTAACCTTTGAAAATAGGATCTTCCTCATTTAATGCTCATTGCTGAGGTATATTTTGACCAGATAAAAATATCAAAAGATTTTGGAAATGTCTCTTCAAAATCTTCACAAAGTTATCATCTCAACAAATTCCGAGGACGAATTCGAATTGAATATTCATAGTTTCGTTCAATATTAGATTGCTCTGCTCGATAATTTGCATATGGTCAATATTTCCAATATTTCTTTTGAATCCTCAATTCCAACGCCCTACTTGAATTTCAATTCTCTCTTGAGTTTCATAATTAATGTCTCACTCAATTTAATAACATGAGAATTAATTTGAGAAAGCTTTATACAGGGTGTTTCATAATTGAATGTCAATATTTGGGGAGGCAATTCTTGGGTCCATTCCAAGAAGAGAGTTTCATAAATGGTATGACCTAAACGTCCTAACTTTTGAGATACAGTGTGGTAGATTTCTCAAAAATTAATGTTTTTTTATTAATATCTGTAATACCACTTCAGATATCCTAATGAAATTTGGCATACATATATGTACTATGTATCAAGAGGCATCAGTTGGTGTGCCACATTTTTTGGTTGACACCAGTGGCGTTCGTATGGAATTTCTCATACCTATTTTGGCAGACATTGATGGTACGCCACTGATTAATCTCGAAATTGAAATCATTCCTGAAATTCCCAATCATTCCTAAGCGAATTTGATCACCACAATTTTTTCAATCTGATGCACGGTTCTCGTTGAAAAAAAATAAAAGCTTTTCACTACATGATTATAGGAATATCGTTTACATGACAATATCACAATACAGAGTGATAGATTTTATTTTTAAGATCAAATTTCAGAAGTACAATTCATAGTTTATGAACTTTGTTTTCGTATTTGGTATTTTGGAATTTATAAATCTTCATTGTAGTATACAGTGTGTCCACCTTAAGGACTTACCACCCCTGTAAAATCGTTATTATCCGACCAATTTCAAAAATCCTTTTTTTGTTGGATAGGTTTTTGAAGTGCCCATCCAACGAGAGAGTGATCTAATTCTTGGACTTTTATCGTGGCCAACTGCGACAAATTTCAATGACCCATATTCCAGAAAGTACTATTAGGGATTTTTTTTCACGAAACTTGATGATGGATTCTGAATCAGCACCACTTGAAATATACCTATACCGATTTTCATCATCATAAAACACAGGGTGACCAAAAAAAGGAATCATCATTTTCTTCAAATAGGTGATCAGCAAATGTAGTTCTGTGGTTTTTCTAGAAAGGAATAATCACAAATTATCATAGAGGATTATTTCAGATATACCTGTACCAATTTTCGTCATTTGAATATACAAAGTGTCTGAGAAAAAAATTAAAAAGGATAGGTAAGCAAAATTTTTCATCCTGATAATTCTTCACTCAAAATAATAAGATGAGTCAGGATCACTTGAAACATACCTGTACCGATTTTCATCTTCATTAAACACAGGGTGTTCGAAAAATCAAATTAATATTTTTCTCGAGTTGATGAAAAAATATTGCCTACTTTTTTTTTTTTATTGTTTTCTCATACACATCGTATTTTTGGATGATGAAAATCGGTACAGATATGTTCAAAGTGATCCTCAATAATGATGTGTCATCAATTCTTCTCAATAATACCACAATACTACATTTTCTGATCACATATAAAACATAATTCGTTTTTTCGGACACCCTGTGTTTTATGATGATTAAAATCAGTAAAGGTGTTTCTCAAGTGATCGTGATTCAGAATCCATCATTGTTTTTTGTGAAAAAAAATCCCTAATAGTACTTTCTCAAATATGGGTCAATAAAGTTGGTCGCAGTTGGCCACGATTACAGTTCATGAGTAAAATCACTCTCTTGTTGGATGGACATTTCAAATACCTACCCAACAAAAAAAAGTTTTTTGAAATCGGTAAGATAATAACAATTTTACAGGGGTGGTAAGTCTTTAAGGTGGACACACTGTATATAGGCTATATTGATTTTTGAGAACTTTACCACCCTGTATCTCAAAAGTGAGAACGTCTAGGTCATACGTTCATATGAAACTTTCTTCTTAAAATAGGCCCAATAATCACCTCCTCGAATATTGACATTCAATCATGAAACACCCTGTATATTATCACTACTACTCGAAATATTTGCATTACTAGATTGTGCATCGAAGATGGCCCAAACGTGTATTGTGGATCCACTTCCTCGTTGAAAAACTCGTCGCAATTTACATAAAACCACCAACAGCGTACACAAACCACCGCAGGTCAAAAATCTTGGAGTCATATAAAATTCATTACCACCTTCCAGCCAAACAGTCTAGTCAAGACCGATACACGAGTGATCACTTCACTCACGATACGATGCTACTCGCGTTATTCATCCTTGACTTAGTGCTCATCCTAACAGTAAACGCTAAAGTGTACGACAGGTGCGAGCTAGCAAAAGAACTCAGACAAGTGCACGGTTTCCCAGAGAACCAAATATCAACCTGGGTTTGCATAGCTCAGCACGAATCGTTGTTCAACACGTCTGCCACCAACCATGGCAGTGGCGACCACGGTTTATTCCAGATCTCGCAGATCTACTGGTGTTCACCACCTGGCTATGGATGCAACGCCCCTTGCTCTTCCTTCAGAGATGACGACATCACTGATGACGTCAACTGCGTTAAGAAGATCTTCAGAGAACACACAAGGATCTCTGGTGACGGCTTCACCGCCTGGACAGTTTACCAGCTGTACTGCAAAGGAGACACCACTAAATACATTGGAGGTTGCTATGACAGTTACATAGATAACTCTATCAATAATGTTATTGACACTGATGTTGATACTCGCCCAATAGAGGAGGATGATGATGGGTATGAATTTCCGGCATTGCCTAGTAAACCTAAAGTGTATGATCGCTGTGAGCTAGCCAGAGAGCTGAGAAATATTCATAGATTCTCTAGTGAACAAGTTTCTAAGTGGGTGTGCATTGCTGCACATGAATCCAGCTACAATACGTCAGCTCTTGGTAGAGGAGACCATGGTATCTTTCAAATTTCCGAGCTGTTCTGGTGTTCTCCCTTTGGTAGAGGAAATGGATGCAACGCTGATTGCGCTTCCTTTAGAGACCATAATTTAGCTGATGACATAACTTGCGCGAAAGCTATTTACGACGAGCACACTGGTATCTCAGGAGATGGTTTCAATGCCTGGGCAGTGTATCCTTTGTTCTGTAAAGGTGATACCAGTAGGTACGTTGATGACTGTTTCGAAACAAAGGAAAACCACTATCCAACGACTGGAAATACTAACGGATATGTATTTCCACAAACTCTTAGCAAACCGAGAGTTTACAGCCGATGTGAACTAGCCATGGAGCTCCAAAACGTCTATAAATTTCCGAAGGAACAGATATCAAAGTGGGTGTGCATTGCTGAGCATGAATCCAGCTACAATACTTCAGCTCTAGGTAGAGGAGATCATGGTCTCTTCCAAATCTCGGAGCAGTATTGGTGCTCACCCATTAGAAGAGGACTTGCATGCAATGCTAACTGTGCTTCCTTCAGAGATAATAATATTGCAGATGATATAAAATGTATAAAGATGATATACGAGGAGCACACGGCTATATCAGGTGATGGGTTCGATGCTTGGGCAGTGTATCCTCTTTACTGCAAAGGAGATACCAGCAGGTATGTGAGTGGATGTTTCGAAGATGATGAACATGATGATGGGTATCAGTTTCCACCATTGCCAAGTACGCCGAGTAAAGTTTTGGAAAATCTCATTGATAGTGATGAAGATGATACCTATGAATTTCCACCTCTTCCTAGCTTCGCAAAAATGAATAGAGGCGAGTACAACAGGAGAGACTACGACACGATTTCACTCAGCGTCCCCTCACCTATCAGGACTAGGATTTATTCCACTGAACCAACAATTGGAACATATTCTTCGATAAGGTCTCCGTTCCTCAATGAACGAACTACTGAGGTACAATTCCATATTTTTCCTACTTCCCCTTCACCTAGAGCTAGACATCTGACATTTAGACCTTTTCCAACTCGAGCTTCTACAACATTGAGACCTAGAGGCAGTAGACCTCGACCTCCAGTACCAGGGGGGAATTTGGGAAGGCCTCCAAAGCCTCCTGGTGGAATAGCGCGTCCATTGAGACCTTCGAGTAACACGACAAGACCTAGTAGGCCAACTCCTAGACCTCCACCACCACCTCCAGCAGGACCCATCTTCACACTATGGCCAACATCTACGACTAGTCCGGTGGCGACCTCTGTGTACGGGATTCGTCCAAAACCTCCGAGTGAACCAGAAACACAAGAAAAATTTGGTGGTGCGCTCAGAACAACCACTAGCCGTATTTCTGTTCAAAGAAGTAGAGCGGCTAAGAAAGTTTTGGATCATTTTCCTGGTTACTCCTTTTCTAGGAGTCGGTTAGGGTTTAGCCTGTTCCAGAACGTGAATTGAGCTGTGTAAAACATCATCTGCCATTATTTCAAGACTGATGCGAATATTTCGTGCCTATAGTGCTAATTTTAGTTGTTAATATTGTTACTTCTTGTGTAATTTTAAGGTGGCCCAGTCATGGTATCCTTTCCACATTTGCTGTATGCTGATAAGGAATATTTGGGAAGTGTGGACGGTCTACATCCAGATAGATTGAAGCATGAATCTTTCGTTATTCTAGAGCCTGTAAGTATTATTCATCGATGTTATGAAAGATCGAACATTTTTGGCCACTTGGAGCCGAGCAACACGAAGGTATAACAAAAGTTTTGTACCTATGGTAAAATATGTGTTGAGTAACAACATAATAGTGACAAAACTTTTGTTGTTACAACATATTTTTTGTGGATATAGGACGAGATATTTTTTTCCAATTCATCTTCTTACTCCGTGTATTATTCTTACATGGTAAGACTACTGACCCACGAAGAATACATCAGTGTCTTTCATGAAGAACTCACATTAGAAATACGTGGGGAACCAAATAGAAGAATATTTTACAGGAGCTTCACATCATTGAAATCGTAGGGCAGTTCAAATATACATTGGCTCTTGAGAGTGCATCCCTGAAGTTTGGCCTTCTGAATACCGTGTGGAATACTTTGAAGGAATGAAAAATAACATAATAATAAAAAAAATCTCGGACAGTTCGATTTTTTTCGTGAAAAACAATTTTCCCTTGTTGAAATCTATAGTCAATGATCTATTATTTTTTTAATTGGATTAAGCCATAACTGCAGAAGAGCAAATTGTGAGTACTGTTCATTAGGGTATAACATATGTCTGGGGAAATTGTTTTTTTTTTGCGATTCAGAGCCTCGCAATCACACAGTATATGTGTGGGACTATTTTAGAAGCCTGCCACATAGTCTACACAGCTCAGGTCACCGTTGTACCTCCAGTCCAGTTCCATTTTGTTCAGGGCGTTCTTTGACTGGCACGTGGCCAGTCAGGAGTTCTGTTATAATTTTCAGTTACCCAATGCTGAAAGTTAGTATACGTCTGCAGTTTTTTCATGACACGGTCCTTCGATATATTCCTTTCCGTGTTTGTTTCCTGAATCGTTTGTCCCGGATCTGGTTCATTTCCTGACCCTTTTCCTAGCGGGTTCGTCCTGTCACCCAGAACAGTTTATTCTGTTCTATTCCGCTAGTGTTTTCAGTTCTTCTGTGCAGGCCCATACCAGTTCAGACGTTACTTCCTGATCTTTTATGGCCTTGACTTCCGCCTGACTGATTGACACAATATTGATCTGCTCGTTCCTGATGGCTCTCCTATTATACTCGTTTATAAAATGCATAATTGCATATACACCTCTGCTTGGAATACGGACATGCATGTCCTCAAAGTGTAGCTAATGCTTGCCTCTGTTTGTTTTTTGGGTATACTCCTGCTCCTCTACCGTCTGCAGTCTTAGATCCTTCTGTATACCAGATCTTTCCTTGCAGGATCATGTCGAGTTCTGTGTTATCACATTCAGTCCTATCTGGTATAGATGTCCTGAATGTGATTCTAAAATCGTATCGTTTTGGACTCTGATCTATTCTCATGTTCAACACATTCCTGTTCACATTTCTCATGGTCTTTTTTTTATGTTCTGGTTCCCACGAAAAGGGATATCCTGTAATGTTCAGAGAACATCGCGAGAGCCAAGAGAATTAGAGGAGGAATTGGTGTTCTTCTTAAATTTCTGGAGGTTATGGCAATGTGTTCCAGTGCCTCGCTGTTCGTTGGATGAACGAGTCTTTGGAAAGAGATGTTCTGCAGGTGTTCCAGAGAAGTGAGTGAGTTTGTGAGCGAGGCATCACCCACGAGACGAATTGCCGTTTTTTGGACAGAAGTTTCAGGGTATGTTTGGGTGCTGCAATCCAAATATGGGAACATTATTGCAGGACAGGTCGGATCTATGCCTTATAGATCATAAGCAGCTGACTGGAAGTGAAATAGCTCCTGGCACGAAGTAGGAAACCAAGTTTTTGGGATGCACTTTTAGCAATTGATCTCACGTGATTTTCTCAAGATAGGCTATTGCTAATAGTAATACGAAATAGATATGTCTTCAAAGGTATGGTTACTCCTGACAAGCTTATGTTGGGCACAGTGAGATCGGCTTTTCTAGAGAAAAGGCATTGTCCTCTTTAGTTTTTTATGGTGCCCCCCCGAGCTTGGTTCCCTAGTGACATTTCTTTTTTCTTTGCATGATATGGAGAACGAATCAAATTTCCCAAATTTGCATCTTTTATTTGTGAGGTATCATTTTCCACCACATTATCATTCTCACTCTGTAGGTGAGTAGGTAATGTCCACGTACATATACATACACTCGTCACAGACTATCTAATCAAATAGATAGATATAAGATATACAGGGTGTCTGTAAAAGGTCTTTACAAAAACATACCACTTATTCCCTAGACCAAAATAAGTCGATTTAAGTAAAATCACCTTTGTACAAAGTTGCATCGTTTGGGCTCCAGAGGGCCTTGCAGTTGCAATTTTTAAATCGTTTTTCCCATATAAATTTAAAACGGCATATGCGATTTTGCTGAAATTCAGTATATTGATAAAGTTTTATGTGGCAAAAAAAATGGTGTTGAAATTTTGTCCGATAATAATACATAGGCGTAGAACTTGATTTTTTAAATAATTGCACCTTTAAAAATTCTACGCCAATGGAAGAAAAGAAGTTTGAGTATGAAATTTAGATTGCGCAACTCATTTACTTCAAAAAAGGTACTCTTGATAAGACTCGATTGTTTTCATGGTTTTGACGAAATTTGCATTTTAGTAATTTTAGAACATAAACATAAGGTGCATTAAAAAATCAAGTTCTACGCCTATGGCAGCAAAGGGGTTAGAGTATGAAATTTGGATTGGGTACTCATTCACTACAAAAAAGTACCCTTGATAACACTCGATTTACTCTCATGGTTTTGAGAAAGTTTGTATTTTAATAATTATTGTTTATGTTCTAAAATTACTAAAATGCAAATTTCGTCAAAACCATGAGAACGAACAATCGAGTCTTATCAAGAGTACCTTTTTTGAAGTAAATGAGTTGCGCAATATAAATTTCCTACTCAAACTTCTTTTCTTCCATTGGCGTAGAATTTTTAAAGGTGCAATTATTTAAAAAATCAAGTTCTACGCCTATGTATTATTATCGGACAAAATTTCAAAACCATTTTTTTTCCACATAAAACTCTATCAATATACTGAATTATAGCGAAATCGCATATGCCGTTTTAAATTTATATGGGAAAAACGATTTAAAAATTGTAACTTCAATGCCCTCTGGAGCAACTTTGTACTGAGGTAATTTTACTCAAATCGACTTATTTTGGTCTAGGGAATATGTGGCATGTTTTTGTAAAAACCTTTTACAGACACCCTGTATATATTATATTGATACCCTCAGGGAATGTGTACATACACACATATTTTCTGAAACAAATCACATTCATTATGTATTTATGAAAGGTGATCATGTCAAGGTCCGAAATGTTAGTTTCTAATCAACATTTTTTTCGACTTCATGACCCTTGTTGATTCATGAACACGAATATTGTAAGTATATGCATCATCGAATACTTATAGAGATGTCTATCTAGAATATTTGGATAGAGATTTCACTGCAAAATCAGGTCGTTTATTCTCCATTAGCACACAAACCCAAATTGATTTTTTTCAAAATGATGTCATCGTGAAATTTTTACAAGCAATGGTTTATTCATCTATCGATGTCAGTGTCGGGCTCAGGAATAAATATTTTCAGGAATATTTTGTTATTATTTTATATCATTAGATAATACATTTTTTTATTCATTCCATTATTCGTCATTCAATTCTTTAACAAGGGCTATAATGTGAATTTTAGAATTATTCCAACAAACTTGTAGTACGACAAATGAGATGATTTTACCCAAAACTTACTATTAGAAACCTGAAAGAAAAACTAAATTGATATTCAGTGACACCTGGTCTGAAAAATGTTTGAAGAAGAAAATGGATACATACATACATACAGGGTGGCCCCCTTTGAAAACGAAACAGAGACTCTGTGGGTCGCCAAAACCGGATTATGAAAAAATCTGAAACACTTCAACTTCATTTTCGAGGGGGACATCGTTCTAAATTATTTTCAACAACTTTGTTATTTCAAATGGAACACCCTGTATTTCATTGCATTTTTAGATTCTCCGCAAAGAACTGATTTCATCAATGCATCACACTTGAGATCTAGCGGCAATGATTACAGAGCTATAGGGTGTTCAAAATCGAGATTTTTCAACTTTAGGATTTTTTTGTGTCGAAACTATTCATCATTGGTCAAAGCGGCTCACATGACCCTATCTCAAATTTTGAATCACTATCTACTGACATTTAATTGGAACAAATACAGGGTGGTTCAAGATTCAGAATTCTGATCACCCAGTATCTGTATTGCTTTATATCAATATATATCCTTTTTTTGTATGTTCATGATTTATCTGAGAATATTCCTTTTCAACACTTAAATATCAGTAGATAGTAAATCAAAAGTTGAGATAGGGATATAAAAGCCGTTTTGACCAATAATGAATAGTTTCGACACAAAGAATGCTGAATTTGAAAAATCTTGATTTCAAGCGTAATGCATTGATGGAATCAGCTCTTTGGGGAGAATCAGAAAATGCAATGAAATTCATGGTAATCCATTTGAAATCAACGCCGCAGAGCTGAGAATAATTTAGAACGATGTCTCCCTCGAAAACGTAGTTGACGGTTTCAGATTTTTTTCATAATCCGATTTTGTCGACCTACGAGCCTCTGTTTCGTTTTCCAAGGGCCACCATGTATGTACATATGTATAGTAAGTACATTGAAAAATATAAAATTTTACTAACCAACATAAACGCTTTGAAGAGCTTCAATGATTGATCTATTTGCCTTCAATGATTGATTCATTTGCCCGAGTTGATTCGTTAACAAGTACAGTCATCTTCAGAGAACATGTCCCGATTGGATGGTGTGAGCGCTCTTATACTTTGTAGAAGTATACGAGAGTGCTACGATCATCAACCATATGTGTCATATGATTTCTGAAGAAAACTGTACTTCTTTGTTTGTTTTTGTTCTAGTTGAGTGGTTTTCCTTTGAGTTTGGCTCAACGTGTCCAATTCAACATTTTCCTAAGGCCAATCGAGAGTTTGGTGATCATGGAGAATGTCAGCAGAGCTTTATTCCCTCTGATTTGGATAGAAGAGGTGAGTGAAAAAATAACAACAACAAAGGGAAGGTCCCTCGTGCTCTTCCTGGACCTGAACCAAACAATTTTAACATGTATTTTTGGAAAATGTTTATAATAACCCATTAGGGAACTTTTTTGTTATGTATGTCTGTGCTTAATTCCGTTTGTACCATAATGAGTCGTCGATTACTAATTTTTGGATCTTCTTGTAAATACATGACGAGTGGATTTCTAGCCAAAAGCGCTTTGCTATTTTATAATACATTTTACACGAAATACAAAATCTCTTCATTTTATTTACTTTGATAATATCTGATGAAGCGAATTTTCATATTGATGGCAGGGTGAATAAACATAATTGCCACATTTGGGCAAGAAGCTTCAAAAGTAACCGTTTGGTGTGCCATGTCGAAGCACAACATTTATGGTCCATTCTTTTTCAATAATCCAATAGTAGACTCTCTTTCGTACTTAGACATGTTAGAAAACTTTTTGTATCCATAATTGGACCAGGATAATTTACTGGATATAGCATATTTCCAACAAAATGGAGCTACACCCCACTATGCACAAGAGATTCTCTGAATGCCACTTTTGGATATCGTTGGATTGGAAGAGGAGGCCCAATACTATGGCCACGACGATCTCCAGACTTAACAGTACTCGATTTTTTCTTATGGGGTTACGTCAAAGAAACTATTCGTAACGTAATAGAGAGTATTCCCGTCGATATGTTGAGTCTCAGTTTCGATAACTTCATAAAAGAATGAATGTATGTATTCAAAACAATGGAGGATATTTTGGATAATTGCTATACCTAATTATTCATGTTCACTTTGTTATTTTTAGTGTTGAACTGATGTTGAACATTTGAATAATTGCTATAATTATTCATGTTCACTTTGTTATTTTTAGTGTTGAACTGATGTTGAACATTTCAAATAAACTTATCATGAATCTGTATCAGATTTAGGATAACATCCTAATATGTAGTAGATGCTTCAAAGAGTTATAATTCTAACAGTTTTCTAGGAAAACATAACTTGTAATATATTATTAGAAAGGGAAAAGACCAGTCTTTCTGATCGTGCAGAAACCGTGAACCCGTCAAAAAATCTTGAAAAATATCAAAATATACTAGTCCAAACCGCACAACGATAACTTGAATGGTTTCAGAGATATGAGCATTTGAAATGGGTCAGAATATAACTGATCATCATTCTCCTCATTTCTTTTTCATTATGATTGTTTGCGTTTTATGTTTTCAGACGCTCCTACTTGATGATAAGTTCACCGACATGCTCAAGAACAATCTTCACAAGACTCTGAAGATATTGAACATCATCACATGGGTCGTCATCACTTCTGGAGCAGCATGCATTTTGTTCACCATTTCTTTCGTGCTATACAAAAATGTTTCTTGATTAAGAGATCAGCAAGTAACATTCTTCAATTAGACCAGGAGAAATGTGGTTTATTATGATTAGAATAGGCGAGTGGACTAATTTTGTTTATTTCTTAAAGATAATCATCACTCAAATACCTTTCAATTTCATATGTTTTCAGAATTTTTCGGTCTATTTTTAGGTGCTTAAATCATCAATAATGCCACGGTAATTTTCAAACGAATAGAAATTTACCGCGAGTACAAACTGATTTCGTAAGTAGGGGCAGACCATAGCACAGTTGAAATGTGTTGAAAAACGATTGAAAACTTCAGAAATATTAGTTATTCAAACATTCATAAATTCTCAATTATGTATTGGTAATATTCCTTATTAGCAAAACACAATCAATTGTTTCAAAATGTTCCCTCACGATTTGTGGCTTGTTGCTTATGATACATTTGTATAAATAGTAATCATATCAATTCACACTAGAGTACATTTGAAGCGGTGAACGTGACAACACGGCGCGCACGACTTGTGGGCGTGGTCTGGCCTAGAGTCCCTGTATATACCTTAGACAAGAGTCCGGACACAAAACTGACAGCCGTTGGGGTTTTTAATATTTTGTTTCATTTGGTTTGCCCACCTGACAATGTGACGAAACAGCATAGTCGTCCCGCCCGCTTTATTGCGATAAATCATTAGAAAAGGGATTCAAGTTATTCAATTTTCCGAATGATCCTTTAAAGATAATGTCATGGAAGAATGCAATGAAACGTCCAGAATGGAAAATTAATTTCAAGTAATCCGCAATATGTGAGGTGAATATTCAAATTTACTTGTAAAAACAGTACAAAAAAGATGAATTTTGGGCCCATTTTGATAGAGATTCTTTCAAGCTGATGGATTTCAAATTGAAAGAGTCTGCTGTGCCGTCAATTTATAAAATAGAGACGTATAGGAACCTTGTCACCATCGGAGGAATCCTAGATGGTATAGGTACCTATATACTGATCTTAAGAATCTTGCAATTATGATTTCCATTATATTTACTATACAATAGTATATGTACCATGAGTTTAATATAGGTATAGTTAGTTATTATAGGTGTATATAAAAGTTTATAAATTGGATCTTTGACATCTCATTGTCCCTAATGTTAGATAAATATAAAAATCAATGTTTATAAGGCATAGGTATATATATTGTTGTTTTGATTTTGTCACTTTCATTTTTGAAACATTTATATATCTTCTATTTCTTTATATTCCAACAGAAAACAACAACTATATTTTCTTGGCTATATGTGATACCACGTAGAACACTTAAATTATCTTCCTTATATCTGATGAAGTGAAGAAATATCTGATGACAAAAATTTGCAATAGCCCAGGAATTGATTATGAAAATTATGGATTCGAAATTTGAACACCCTGTTGTTCATTATTTGAATATCTAATAGTTATTCTTGTTAAAATAGCCCTATTTCTCACTTCTACCTACGGCTATATATGAACGGTTTGACAAATAATTTAACCCTCAAAATTGTTTCTGACAATCATTGATACTAGGGGAATTGAAAAGACAGGACTCGATATATATGTCTTATTTTTTGAAAACAGAAAAGGACAGAAGTATAGCTGTGTCCGACCTCTTGTCTAAGGTATATACTGTGACTCTAGTCTGGCCTTCTTCTCAGCATTCAGCACAATGTTGCCAAGTCTCAACATCTACATGATATTTTGTTATGGAATATAAGAAATATTTGGATACGCTGGTTGCTCGAAGAAGTCAAGAATGAACTATAAGATCATGGGTTCCTCCTATTACTATGTTTTATTCAACGACAGGACTCTTACATCTTTTTGCTAACTTGATTATAATTGGTGACTTGACAACCTTGCTTCGTGAGTGGGAATGGAAGATTATCTGACCAATAACGAAACAGCATAAAAACTGACGTCACCATTTATTCCACGTATCGCCAAATGGTGGCCATGACGGTACGATTGAAATGCGCTCCGAAATTCAACAATTTCGAAAAACGCACACACTCATTATTTACCTAAAAAAGTGTGAGAAGTGTTGGAAAAATTAATTTATAGGTCCCTTACGACACAGTGGAGTAATTGAATGCCAATAATTCCTCAAGTCCACTCGCCCATTGTAGGTAGTTGTTTGAAATTATATTACACATATGGATGTTGATCACAGAAATTTTCGTTTTTTGTAGGAATTGTCATATAGATAGATTAGGTGTACATGCATATTATTCTTGTGTGGTATTTGAGGACTGCTCGCATTTCACACCATTTAATTCATTATAATAAATAGAAAGGTACACTTGTAGGTATTTCTGCTCACATAATGTAATAGATTAGTTGTAAGTAGGTATATTCGATACAATTCTAGAAAAAGAAAACAGACGAATAAAATTTTGTTTCAGCTGAAAATTGGTATTCTGTTACAATCGATCTTGTAATTTATCTAGTTCTCCAGCTATACAAGGTGTACTGAATGTCAATACAAACTTTCTTATTTTAATTAGCAACCAAAATGTTTTCAAACACAGGTCGATTGGCCTTCTAATTCTGAAATCAGATAACACAATTTATGTCAACTTATCTATCAGTTTTCAAGATATTATATCGAATTTAATGAAAATATTCACCACTGTAGTAGTTTACTGTATAACGGGTAGCTAGAAGTCTAGGCTAACTTGGTCCTTTTGTACCATATATGGGCGTAGCCAAATGTCGCATTGAAAATTTTCCGAAAAACTCATTTTCTTTTCAAATGGCAACCATCATTATGTTGACACCATAAACAGGGTATCCCAAAAGTGGGTTAATGGTTCAAAAGTTATTATTTTTTTTCAATTTCTAAAAAAACATAATTACAATAAAACTATGTCACAATTATGATTTTTCCTTTAACGAATTACATCCGCATGGATGCACCTTTCTTCAGAAATAATTTCATTACCTGTGTTACTTCGTATCAATTGCCTATTAGAAATGTTGTTCCCCTTAAGTTTTGTCATTGATTGAAATATTTCAGTTGATGTTCAAACGCTGCTGGCAGATTCAAAAACTACCCCATGAAAATAACTTATTATGAGAAAAAGTTGCCCATTTAATACAGATTCCCAAATGGTATAACATATGGAGTTATTCAAAACAGCCTCTATTTGTTATTCATTTTCATCAAATGGGTCGCGTTTTTTAGAAAAATTGAATGACTTTTGAATCACAACAATTTGATAACTACATATACCATAAGTTTAATGTAAATGACCACATCCCTACCACCCCACTTATTTTTATCCATAACTCATGGGGCACCTTGTATATGAAAGGAAATTAGAGTTTGATTATAAATTACTGAAGCATTTTCTATACCTAACTCAAACCTCCATCGAGTGTTTTTTTAGTGTAAGTCGAAGGGTGATGTGTGAAATCAACGATAGATTTTTCTCCGTGTATATGGTGGTGTCATTCAATGTAACGAATATTTAGCCATCTAACATCAGAGGCGGCATCAATGCTCTCTAATCTGGGTAAAAAGTTATTTCCATTAGAAATGTTTATTGAGAAATAATTATGAAAAAATAGTATTCATGGATGATACGGTATACAAAACATTCAATACACAGGGCAACTTGACATATTTTGCACTGAACACTACTTCTCTTTTGTTCACATACTTGGTACATTCTTTGTACCTGCGAGATGTTGTTTTTTCGGAAAAGTGTCCTTTTGCATAAAAACTATTTAGAAATTAGAAGAAATAAAATGTTACTAAAAGTTACACTGATTGATATTATGATATTGATCCATTTGGTGAAACTGGGAAGAATGAATGAATTTCGTATTTTGCCCAGTACTTTTGAGCGCATGAATATGATGGCTAGTACATTCAATGGTATACCCTAATTTTCTGTACTCACTGTGGAAGCATTTGATGATTCATGCTTTGGTTTTTCAATCCTCACATTTGATTTGTTGATGCGTAGGTATATCAAGTTATCAATGGATACGTTCCATTGAAAACCCGTTATGCGTAAATTTCGATTCAGCCACATCAGTCTTCGTACACACACGAACGATCTGATCGATGTTGAAAAATATACTTTCTAGGAAGAAGGTTCATTTAGGCCGAGTGAGGTTGGGTTGTTCAGAAAAAGTAGTCTGCTCTCTCATGCAGAAATGATATTATCCTTCTTTTCATTACGCGTTTGTAATTTAGAGAGCGATAGATGGAAATGGTATAGCTAGACGCATGTATATCAGGCATTGTGGGCCTGTCGACACATTGTGTTACACCTGCATTTGACAACAGTGCTTCCACCACGTATGTACGGAGACTGTGGGCATATCGAAACACGGACCTAACGAAATGCGGGCCTATCGAAATTGGGAAGAATTAAAACTTAGGCCTAACACAGAGCACCCAATAGATATGTCCGTAAATTAAAATGTTTTCCACGAATCTGTTCCTCTCTGAGTGTTGGTAGGTACTCGATAATCTGTATATCTATGTATCTCACAATATTTTATTGGGCAAAAATTCATTCCACAAGCACCTCGCTCTTTCAAATTTCGAAAAAAAAATCATAACTTTCTTGATATCAACGTGTAGGGGAGTATTTTCTATGACTGTATGGTACGTGATAATCTTTTATCTCACGAACATAAATAATTTTTTGGGGAAGAATTTATTCCACGAGACCCCAGAGATTGCACATTTTCAAAATGTAGTTCAATGACTTCACAGCTATTTTTGTCATAAAGTAATAATATTTTCTGAATCATTGAAATTTCGATCGAATGGTTAATCTTCAGAGATAAAATTTTGACCTTTGAATTGGATATACGCGGCTTATGGAGTGATATAGTCTCAAATCTCCACAATAACGTTTGAAATTAGCCGGCTGATAATGAACACTTTTTGATTCCTAATAAAATACCTATTGAACGTTGTGTTTGTTCTTGAAAAATATTATAACAGTTGAGTTAATTACGTAGCCATATTGAATGAAATCAATATAATTTCTAAACTCATCTGATAGGAACCTACTTATAGGTTTATGCGTCCCGGGTTATGTGTATAGGTAGGTAATATCTCCAAGCAAGTAGGTCCCCTACCTACCTAGGAGTTAGGAATCTACCTAGTACCTATCAGTTTATTTTCAAAAAGTTGTAAGTGATTTTATCATTTTGTGGGGTTTCACTCACAAAATGAAAGGAATGCAGTATGTATAAGACGATTCAAGGCCCCAAATGTATTGAAAAGTAGGTAGGTACCTTACCTGCCTCTATCTTTTAAAATTTAGAATTGAAAATATAAATAAAACAATATAAAATATGACATAACATTTTTATTGCTCATAATATATTATACATAAATACACAAAAACAATACATCGAATGATGCAGCCTTTTCCGTTAACCTTACTTTATGATTGTAATACACCTATAAACACATCAGTACAATCATATATTTATCATATATTATCTCCTACACATGAACGTACCCTAAGTGAGTAATAGCTACCAATACTTTTCCAAATTTTTTACTAAATCCTTGGGGCTTGTGCTCGGCCCATGCCTCTCCACCGGTTTCCCATTTTTGTCGACGATGAATTTGGTGAAATTCCACTTGATGAAATCGCCCAGAGTCCCGCCCTGTACATGCTTCAAGTATTTCCACAGAGGATGTGCGTCGTTGCCATTCACATTCACCTTCTCGAACATATCAAACTCCACCTTCTTGGACTGCATGAAATGACACACCTCATCATTAGTCCCCGGCTCTTGTCCACCGAACTGGTTGCAGGGAAAGGCGAGAATCCTCAAACCTTTGGATTCACCATACTTCTGATAGAGATCCACCAACTCAGCATAGTGGTTTTTGGTGTATCCGCACTGCGAAGCTACGTTCACTATGATGCACACATGGCCACTGTACTTCTCCAAAGACACGGGATTTCCTTTGATGTCATTCGCTGTGAATTCGTAGATGGATTTGGCGCTTTTGAAGTCCACTGGATTCGACATATTTTCTTCGCCACACGAGCTGTCAACACTGTTTGTAGATTTGTCACTCGAACAATAATTTCCTCGTGTACTCGAAACGAGAGCAAGCAGGAAAATGCCGGCTAACAACATCACCGTACTATATAAACAAATACAAATACATTAAATATTAATTATGGAATGACGTGTAGTGGTAATGGGTATCTGGCAGCGCACATTTCTTATCATCATTGTGATGCAGCACAGGGCCGGTCTCAAAAATAATATAGCCTCATGCGTAGACAATCGTTTATACATATGGTGTTTCAAAAAATTCAATTATAGCAATGTTAGCATACATGAATGACTTGCTTACTAACCTTTGTGAAATAAGAAGTTTTCATCTGACGTAGAAGATAAAAACTCTCTGATTCGTTAATGTATCAAAGTTTTCGATTTCTCAGGTTTCAATCCATATTCTGATTGCATATTTCTGCTCACATGAATACCTTTTGTGTTGGCATCCTGAAGAATGAATTGCCCACAAAGATGAGAGCTTCTGTTTTACACAGAGTTCTTGGAAATATGCAATTACAAAGAACATTCTCTTCGATTTCACTATCGTCTACATTTCGCATACATTTTCAATTAAGAATTATTCTGATACAAACAGAAATTGTTTGAATAATTCTGATTGTATTTCAAAATGACAGTTCCTACAATTGACAGGCTGGACAGGACAAGACTCAAAATTTGTTGCCATGGTAATGTGTTTCAGAAATTGTGTTGCCATGGTAACGTGTTTAATTTTTTGAATAAATCACAGACCATCAATCCGTGATTATTGGATCATTTAGCGTGGTACAACATATCCGTACGCTAAATGCCATTTTAGTTATGTGAGTAGAAAAAAGGGATTACTTCTCAGTCAGGACTATTATTGTATAACATATTAGCTAATTAGGGGTGATTAATATTACTGAAACTGAGGAGATCTTCTTCATTGTTCTCAAAGAGAAACTCCAGAAGAAATGAACTGAATATCTCTTCGCTACCTTAGATGAATCAGATTCTCCATAAACAGTAGGAAAATTAGTTCGATTATCAATCAATATTGAGGGTGCATCAGTAACAGCAATAAATGTTTGATTAGAAATTACCATGGATAGAGGGTTATAAATAGAATCTACCTGTGTATAAAGCGGTTTTGTACAAATAATGCACACCAATTTGCTTAATTCGAAATTCTATAGCTTATCGACTTTCTAGGTCTTTATTTTGTGATGGTAATGTGATTATAATGCATTTTTAATGGATTTACTTTGAATAACCAATAAAGGTACAGCGTGTTTCACTGGAAGTTGAAACAATTCGTATTTTCAATATTTATTATTATTCTTTCTATTTTATCGCTTGTCGCTCACAAAAGGGAATTCCTATTATGTTCCATAATAATTGAAACGTTGCCATTCATACTTCACGTTTCTCGGGTCAGAGGTAAAAAAAACAGGCGTTTTTGGCACGCTGAGACCTTCTTGGAATAAGCATATAGTAGGGTAGGTACCAATAAGAATATACTGATTACATTTAATACTCGGTTTAACCAGTTGTCCGCCTAAAGCAGAATTTCGAACAGAAATCAATATGCGATTTTTTTTCAGAGAATTCTACGAAGTTTTTTATTGTGGCCATGGTGGTGTATTGTTATTGTCCTGAAGTGGTCCATCAAATGGTCGAAGTAGTATACATAGAAGTGAAATAATGAGAATGACTCAGCCTGTGATTATGGAATCTCCAATATTACATGTTGAAATTCGTACCAATGCATAGGAAAAATGTGCTATAACCTTGTTGTTTGCACTTTGATCCCAATTACTCAGTTATTTCTAGACAAGCACAGAATTTATGACAAGACGAATGATTACAAGCTTGATTGAAAATAAACAACAACAGTCCCTTGTGTAGTTTCTTTGCTCTGAGCTTAAGAGCGTATCCTGCAGGCACAGTCATGTATATTTTTTCATTAAAGAATTGAAATACGATAACTACTCAGGTATATAATATACACCTGAAGGAAAATATTTAACTCGTAGATAGAGGCGGAAATACGACACACCTCAGCGAGGTGATTCTAAATATAAGGTGTTAAATGTTCATAGTCGGAGAATCGATAGAAAGGGTATCTGAATGTAAACACGCATAGGCATAGGACATATTCATATGGGCGATTTTCTGATAACATACCTCCGAGCATACCTCAATATCCAATTCCATCTTTTTCAAAGAATAATATCTTGGAATATTTCCCTTATAACCACGCCAAAATATTAGATCCAACAGTAATTGAATACAAGATATTCCTTCAGGTTGAAAGTATAATTAGGTATGTTACATTCAATTCAATAAATAATGAGAGATATATAGGTATATCAAAACAGAATAACAGGAAGTTAGAAGCATGAATCAGGATACATTTTCAAGTAATGATTCACCAGTGGTATCCCAATAAAAAATTAAGAAGGGTTCAATGACATATGGTTTCCATGAAGTTATTCTATCTTAGTTATTAACAAATAATATAGAAATCGTCAATAAATTCTAACATGCTCACCAAGTTCAGAAGCAATAACGGCTTCTTTTGATGAAGATTAAAATTCAAAATGTGTCTGTATAATGAAGATACAGCAGGTTTTTTATTGATTTTGCTGCTTTCTTTCTAGGATCATATGTCAGGAGTCAGGTACCTAGGTGAACAATATGATGGAAAAACACCACAAGAATTATTGATAGTTAAATTTTGAGTAAAACTATCTTCATTAGGCAAAAGAACAAAAATTCATGTTCTATGTAGATTATAATTTGAAATGAACTATGAGTGAGCACATGAGGTTCTTTTATTGTGAAAATCACAGGATGATGCATAAGACGTTTACATTGAATGCATGCACTGTGATCAAACTGTGACACAAACTATGAAGACATAATATGAAAACTTTCAATTAATTAACATATATTTATATGAGTATTCTACTATTTCCTCTAAAATAGATATAGGTATGCTAGCAAGCGTGTTCTACATGTGATTCTACATAAATATTATGAATAATTTAACTTCTATATTACAATGGTTACCAATACTTTTCCAATGACTTTACTAGATCCTTGGGATTTGTGCTGGGTCCATGCCTCTCGACTGGTTGGCCCTCCTTATTGATGATGAATTTGGTGAAATTCCACTTGATGAAGTCACCAAGAACGCCCCCTTGCTTATATTTTAAGAAGCTCCACAAAGGATGGGCATCACTACCATTCACATTGATTTTTTCAAATACATCAAACTTAACATTCTTGGTTTGAATAAACTGGCAGATTTCAGCATTGCCCCCTGGTTCTTCTGAAGCAAACTGGTTGCAAGGAAATGCTAGAATTCGAAGGCCTTTCGATTCGGAGAATTCATCAAACAATTCGTTCAGTTCGGCATAGTTATTTTTTGTATATCCACATTGGGAAGCAACGTTCACTATGATACAAACATGGCCCTTGTACTTCTCCAGAGAAACTTCGTTTCCTTTAATGTCTTTGGCAGAAAATTCGTAGATGGATTGAGCTTCTTTGTAGTTTTCTGGATTCATTTTGTTTGAAGCTCGAAGAACTGCTAAAGCACGACAGGCAACAGCTACTTTAGTGAGAGTTCTGTTATTTAGGAAGAGCATTTATGGCATAATAAAATAGATAATGAACAGTAATTTCAGGAACCGGCGAAACGGCTCTTGTTATTATGGATACAATGACAATGGAACAAAGATAGGAACTGTCTACACAACCGCCGCGGCAGTTGGATAAATGGATACTGATACCTAAACAACCGCCGCAGTCCGCATATAATAGACCGCAGTGAAATACGAGGAAGGAAAATATCGTTTCTGCATAAACTAGGTCGCGTATAGGATGACCGACACTGGAAGTTAAACATTGAAACACAACCTCACTTTCCTGTAAGACATTGAAACACAGCCACACTTTTCTCATTCGTTTACAAAGGAATCAAAGTATTGAACTAGTTTTTCACAATATTTTGGGAAACGAATTCTGTTTTTTGGGCTATTCATTAATTCAAGCATAGGTACCATCACATTGTTCTGTTGTACAATGCACAAAAAATGCAGCGAGTTACGATGGAATATGAGTTTTCAGGTAAATAGTGATCTCACATAGTTTTTATTATGAAATTTTGTCATTTCTCATTAGAATTCCTCCTACCACTTCTGCAATAGAAGCTAATACTGCTAATAGAGTGAAAATATCTACAACACACACGATACATGATCATATTTCGTCAGCAGGCCAGACTAGTCCTCCCGTTTGATTGCACGGATCCAATCCTCTTGTCTTCTTTCAGAAACTCCACGAGTATTTCTATTAGCTCCTATTGCAGAAGGGATTCCAATGAGAAATGACAAAATATGAAAATAAAAACTATACATGTGAGTGACTACAGTACTTTTAGATCACAATGTACCTCACCTACCTGAAAAATCTAATTACAGCGTCTCTCGCTGCATTTTTTGTGCATTGTACAACAGCACAATGTGATGGCATGCTTGACTTATTGAATAACCGAAAACACAGTTCTTATGCAAAACTAATTGTGAAAAACTATTTCAATCCTTTGTAAACAAATAAGAAGTGAGGTTATATTTCCAAACTCGGCCTAACTGAACCATTTGTCCGGTTGGGCGCCGACAAATTAGGATTTGTAGCCGGCAAAAATTCAACATAAATAGAAATTAGGAGACTTTCTCGACTCGGCTGTTTGAGGATACTGAACGAACTATCCTCCAGGACAGTCATCACATCATTTCAACCAACCTTGGTATAAAATTAAAACTACTGCAAGTACTTACATGTACTATAAATATCGCCCTACCTGGCGGCTATAACTCAAACACTTTTGAGCGATTTGTTTTGATGAATGATCGAAGTATCCTGTAATTTACTCACATATAGGAACATTGAACCTTTGAGCTCTTGCCTCATAGAGGGCGCGAGGATGCTTCATTTGGAAACAATCATCATTCTATAGTAGTTGTTAGGTTGTACATAACATAGATAAATATTCTCATATTATGAGGGTATTTACATTGGCAAATTTACGATTTATTGCGCCCAACCTTTGATAGCATCTGAGGTGTGATTTATTTCTCAACATACTAATTCATTTTACTGATATTTGTACATTGTACATCAGTACATACTTACACCAATACAGGGTGTTTCAATAAAAGGTGACTAGGATATAGGTTGAACACTGCAAAATAAGTTCAGTTTGCTCATTGCGTATCGGCAAGGTGTTGAAAGAAGAGGAAATTAGATCATAGTTCTGGGTCCCACGAATCAATATCTTATTAAACACTGATCGTCTGCATTTGTATAATAATCCTGATGAATACGCCAATTTGTTTCATGTTTCCTCAAATTCCAATTATTGTTAACTACTGAATACTTTATATGTACTCGTGAACAGAAATTGAACAGATCGGGTGATCTTGGAGGCCAGTTATGAGGCCGCCTCGTCTTATCCACTTATCCACGTATCAGAAAAATTCTGATTCAAGATCTGAAGCTAATTCAGAAATAGATGGAAAACCCAAAGTCATCTCCGCAACTTTGATTAAAATGATCAAAGATCAAAGATACATGTTTCGGGCTTATATTAGCCCATCATCAGCCGATAAGTAGTTCAAAGTTATGAAAGTTAAAAAAGTTGAAAATCAAATGAAGTAGACAATCACAGCGCAAACAAAGACACATGCTCCATGTTTGTTTGTGTAAAATTTGTATTTTTTATAAGTATAAACATTTTTTATAACATATAGCATTTTGCTGGTTATTTCCGAAGCCACTCATAAATTTCTCAAATGAAAGTAAGACTCACATTTTCAATGCTTTAGCCCAATGGAAATCAACATGTTCTTTCATTTCCAGGCCTGGATTTCGTCATTTCATTTTTTGTGGAGAGTAATAATCACCCTGTAGATCTTTTTCATCAGTTGATGGCGTATCTGTTCAAATGTTAATGGTCATCGATCCAAATAATTCAAGATATAGTCGAACAGAAAATGAAGGTTTACTCACAATTATGTTTCAAAAGCCATATACTGACAAAGGCGGATAATACTTCTATAGTATGGAAAATAAGTGACCAAATAAACTGAATAAAACAAATCGAATAGATAAAACTGTGAATTGAAATCATTAAATCATTTTTAGCGATGGCCATCAACATTTTCACACATACCTCATCCACTGATTCGGAAAAGATCGACAGGGTAATTATTATCCTCCACAAAAAATTGAATTACTAAATCCAGGCCTGAAAATTAAATAATATGTTGATTCCCATCGAGCTGAAGCATTGTGAACGTAAGTCTCACTTTTATTCGTGAAATTCACGGGTTGCGAAGTATTAATTACCAAATAAATAATTTTTCTGTCAAATTTTCGTTTTTTCATAATTTTTTTTTCAAATTCATTGAAAAATTTCAATTGAAAATAAAGAAATGACAACAGTAATTTTGGTAACTCACCATTTTTTATGAATATTTCAGACAAATTCTGAGAAGCTGCAACATTGTCAACAAATGTTGGAAATCATTGAGGTTTCTGGTAATTCGAATTAATAAAAAAAATTATTATCGAGTTATAATATCTGAAATGGAATCATGAAAAGATTCATAAAATAAAAAATTCATTACGTCGTAAAACCGGTAGTCACAATTATCATGAACCAAGGATTTTCGTATACAGGATGTCCTGTAAAGACCACGTCAAACCTAGGGAGAATGTGGATGTTTAAAAAAAATCGCTAATGATATCTCCTAATTTTCAACATGGAAAAATAATATAGTATGCCCTGACACAAAGCACTATTTTACATTAATCATCATTTCACAAATAATGGCATGCATAGCCCCCTCTCAAGGATACCAAGGGAATACAATGATAATTGTATACATATTGACATTTTCAGTAATTCATCTCAGTCTTTCGATAAGTCATCAATTACCATTAATAGTACCCCTTCATAAGCAGCTGAGTTTGATTACTGTTATATAGATTCATAATGATCTAGGATATATAGCTACTGTCAGTGATTACTGTGATAGATTCAGATTCATACTGATTTAGGATATTCTCTTGTTATATGCCTATTCGTATTTGTTGTATTTAATATTTACATAGGTATATATTTATATATACACACCGGCACAATTAGGGGAACGGGCAAAATTTACACTAAGTTTGACATCAATTTTCTCTTGAACCCATCGCTCGATTCCAATTCTTTTTTCTCGAATTGTACCTTAATTCTTCAGGAATACATCTGACAAATAACCATCTCCAAACGATTTGCCTTTATATCATATACAGGGGTGAAAAGAAAGTACGGATGTTTCGGTAGTTTTCAAGGCACCCTGTGGAGTGAACCACTGATGCATGTGAAGATTTCTCAACACCAAATTGTGACCCAATCTATTCCGAATATTTTCATTCTTCATTCATGATGATATCTCAATTTTTAGAGAATTTGTAGAGTTTAATCGTCAGTGTCAAACGATTTATAATTCGAAATTCATAATTTTAATAATTGAAAATTCCACGTGGGAGACATGACTCCTACTGATGTGGCGAGGGCAGTAGTATAAATTGAAAATGGTAGATCGTACACTGATATCACTGACACGCTGATGAAATCAAAATTTTCGATTTATCGGAATGTGAGACGTTGGAGACAAACACTGAAGAGTACGTGAGGAGACGAGGCCAAGAAAGGAAACGGTCAACCACGACTAGATTTTCATTCTCCCAAACACTACGAAACAGGCGTAGAACCTTACATCAAATGAGAAACGAACTGGAAGAAGTACGTGGAAGACGAAAAAGTCATCGGACTATCAGCAGAAGGCTCAAAGAAGTTGGTCTGAGGGCCCATCGAACAAAGAAAGCGCCACAACTCAGCGACGTTATCTGGTGGCAAGGTTTTGCTTCGCTAGGCAGCATGTAAATTGGCAAAATGACCAGTGGGCCAACATTATGTGAGCCGCTGAGGTAAACAGAAGGAACAATTTAATTTTACTGCTACTGTTTCCTATGGCAGAGGTTCAGTAATGGTCTGGGGTGGAATATGATAAGGAGCACGAAGAGATTCACCATCCATATCGGAGAAAACTTCTTGTTGATGCACGATAATGCCCGTCCTCTCGTGGCTCGTTTAGTCTTCAACTTTTCAAATACAGTCGGAATGAGATGGATTGGCCTGCATGTTCCCTAGACCTTAATCGAATCGAAGATGTATGGGACATGTTTGGTAGACGATTAAGGTCCAGAATTCTCGCTGTACAAAATCTCGAGGAAGTAGTAGCAGCTCTGGTTGATATTTGGGATATTGAAATGATTGATTATGTCATCATCGGGAGCATGGGGGGATGAATGACTGCTGTGATAAGGGATCGTGAAGGTCACACGCGTTATTGAAATCATTGCAGGTGTTTTGAATCTTTATTGTTCGTTAATTTTATTGTTATTGAATGAAGGCTTTGAGAGAACTACATCTCTCTAATCACCTCTGTATATTTTTGAAAATTCTTGACACGATAGACTGATATGTGAGACTGATAACAATATTCAACTTGAAGTTGAAATTTCCCGAGAAACAACTTGAGAAACGAGTTTCGAAGTGGTACAATTAAAACCAATCTCCATATTGTCTTCGAAACTCTGTATTTTCTTGAATAATTGAGATATTAGTATGATGAATAAAAAAAATAATGTTCAAAAATGATCAAGCTACAATTTTGTCATAGAGACTGGTGTCGATAATTGTCCATGATACACTCCAAAGGATGCCTTGAAAAATACCGAAAAATCCATACTTTCTTTCGATCTCTGTAAATGATACTAAGACAAATAATAGTTTGGAAGTGTTTATCCGATACATGTATACGTGAAGAATTAAGCTACAATTCTTGAAAAAACGATTTGAAATCGACCGACCTGAGCATTTTTTCGTATCTACGCTATTATCACCCAAAATCTCCCTGTCAAGTTGAAAATGGGCCATTCTGTATGATGAAAAGGTTATTGAATACTCAACATGAATACGTGACCAAAATATCAACATAAGGAGGAAGGAACCTGCAGAACACGATAACTCTGATATCTTGGACTATGGATGATATGGAGGGACTCCGAACGAATTTTTTCAGATATCTCGTAAACCAAGCAAAATTCAGAAAATGTGGTGAGAAAAAAGATAGATGAATGATTTTGTTATTCAAGTAGATATTAAAATATTGTCAGTGGCGTACTCAAAAAGAGTTCTATGGATTTTCTCCAATCAGAATGCTAAATTTGTATCTTCCTGTATATCGATTGAACTGATGAGACCTGTTATCTAAGCACACTTCTTATAGTTGACTGCCTTCCTAATTCAGAGCAATACCTCTCAAGGATTTTGAAATATTCAATAAAATCTGAAAGAAAAATTCCATTCATCGCCATCTCACGGCCCAACGGTGCATTTTCGTATAGAGGTAAGTTGGTCCCAATCGACTTAATTTGAACTCTAGTTCTCCCTGTTGAATTTAATGTACGTTGTTCTGGGACACCCTGTATATTTTTTTCCATATTGTAATAATATATGTGATTATAAATTATGCAATGAATGACCGCAGTATTCTATTCGATTCTATTTTATTGAATTCGGAATGATATTATGCAAATTTGCATGTGTTAACGTGTTCATGTTCTGGTTCCGACGAAAAGGTATAATTATCCTGTAATGTTCAGAAAACATCGTGAGAACCAAGGAAAATGAGGTAGGAATTGGTGTTCTTCTTGAATTTCTGGAGGTTATATGCCGAATAAAGAGAAAAAGAAATCTGTTGAAAACTATAGATTTTATTAGGGGTTCTCCGGTCTTAAGTGGATTATACACTGTATATTATGTATCTATATATTTCGTTTTGTTGAGTTTTGCTTATGATGCTTATTTATCTTATCAGTCAGTTCAGTGTGGTGTTGCTGCATTCACATCAGGATCAACGAGTGTGTATAGTTGTCGTTCGGATTTGTTTGTCACTGTCATTGTTCCTTTGGTGAGTGAGTTTTTCCGATTTCTATCCATACAGAGTGATGAATTTTTCAATGAATATACTAGAGGAATTAAAAAAACTTGGTAAAATTATATTGAGAAGGAATATTCTCAGATAGATCATGAACATACAAAAATGGATATATATTTAAATAAAGCAATACATTGAGAATTCGCAATCGCAATGTGATGAGTACATCAACTCTTTTTCAGTTTATTCAATAGGAAACAACTACTTTCCGGGCTATATGCCACGACGAACATTGAATTATATCTATTGAACACACACGATAAGAGTTTGAAAATAAAATATAGAAAGACTTCTGAAATAATTGACAATTTGCATTCTCCTTCAGACAGAAATATGTATATGCACACATTATTCTGAATATTCAACAGAACACAACTACTTTCCTGGCTATTTGCCACGTCGAACATTGAATTATATCTGATATATATCCTATGATATAGAAATATTACTTACCAATTTATTCGGCATGAAATGAAAATTGGAATGTATAGGAGAAGTATACTGGCATAAACTCTGATCTTGATGAGCTATATCATTATACATCATATTATTCATCCGATTTGAGAAAGAATGTCAATTCTCAATTTCGGAAGGATTTTATTTTTTATTTTCTGTTCTCCTTTTGGATGTTCATCAGATATAATTCAATGTTCGACGTGGCAAATAGCCAGGAAAGTGTTGTTTTCTGTTGAATATTCAGAATGATGTGTGCATATACATATTTTTGTCTGAAGGAGAATGCAAATTCTCAATTATTTCAGAAGTTTTTCTATATTTTATTTTCAAACTCTTATCGTGTGTGTTCAATAGATATAATTCAATGTTCGTCGTGGCATATAGCCAGGAAAGTGGTTGTTTTCTATTGAATAAACAGGAAAAGAGTTGATATTCTCATCACATTGAGAATGCGAATTCTCAATGTATTGCTTTATATAAATATATATCCATTTTTGTATGTTCATAATCTATCTGAGAATATTCCTTTTCAACACTTTCATACCCAATCAGGGGGTTCAAACTTGAACAATGGAAACTTGTGATTTTTATAGACCTCTAATCGCAGATTCGTGATAGAGTCTCAATTCAGAATTTCTTTCCACGCCCTGTATGATGAATGTCAATTTATCATACACCCAAAAGTACAAATATATTATTTGTTTTGGTATTTTGGTGTTTTGGTATGGCCTAAAACGGTTCGTTATTGAGAGACATGGTTTATTGGTTTTCAATAATTCGTTGATATACATAAATATGAAGTATTTTTTTAGCGATTTCATGGAACAAAATTCTCAGAGAATGATTGGTATTGCTATATATGATAAATACTGAAAAATTGAGAGGATCAACATTTTCAATGATTTTGAGTAGGGAATTGTTTCTATTCCGAATTTCGAAGATGGGTACACCATATCCACATTAATGAAACAAAATTTCGAGGCGTACTTGGTCATATTAATTTTTTGTTAAAAAATCATAACATATTCAAAATATACGTGGGTGAATGTTATTTCCATTAATGTATCACTGTGAGGGTACTCGATATCGTAATATTTTGTCGTGAAGAAACTCACCTCATACAAGGCACCTTTCTTATAATAAAAAAATTTCCGTATTTCACAATATTTTCTCGGGCCAATATGAACATCTTATTTGAAAATTGTAAAAACAAATAGTAACTTTTCCAAAATACGTGAAGATGCATTTTTCCATGAAATCTTTGATATTATTTACGATTGTTTCAGACTATTCCTCAATATGCAAAGACCAATCAATTCTCCACCACCATATGAACCAGGATTCAAAAACGCTGATGGATATGGCCATCCATGTGAGTATAACTGTTTATTTCATTCGAGGTCTAGACATCCATTTCGATGCCTGGTATTATTATCAGCAATAACCTTTCTTGGAAAAATCACGAGACATCAATTGCTAAAAGTGCATCCCAAAAACTTGGTTTTCTGTTTCGGGCCAGGAGTTATTCCACTTCCAGTCAGCTGCTTATGATCTATAAGGCACAGAGCCGACCTGTCCTGGAATACTGTTCCCATATTTGGAGTGCAGCACCCAAACATACCCTGAAACTGTTGGATTCTGTCCAAAAAAGGGCAGTTCGTCTCGTGGGTGATGCCTCGCTCACAAACTCACTCACTTCTCTGGAACACCGTAGAAAAGTTGGCGATCTGGCTTTATTTTATAGATATTTTCATGGACGATGCTCTTCTGCAATATCAACAATTGTTCCTCCCTTGGCAGGCCCCGCGAGATTAACCCGTCGAGTTGAGGCTTCGCACCCCTACGTGGTCACTTTAGAGACCTGCAGAACATCTCTTTCCAAAGACTCGTTCATCCAACGAATAGCGAGGCTCTGGAACACATTGTCAAAGGAGGTATTCCCCGAGGCATATAACCTCCAGAAATTCAAGTAGAACACCAATTCCTACTTTATTTGCCTTGATCGTTCTCATAATGTTCTCTGAACATTACAGGATATTCCTCCTCGTGGGAACCAGAACATAAAAAAATACTAGTTCAAGAAATGGTGAAGATATTTCTGTGGCATATTTGTAAGGAAAATATACTCATGTATCGACCGATTTCGTTCCACAGATCAGTATCTAACTGAATTCGAAAATGAATCCATATATTAATGACTTCCCCAACTGAAAAATAAAAGAATATTTTTGACAATTCCACGACATAATATATGCAACTGTCTTCTCCTGCGATTTAAGAAGTCTCAAACTCGCTACAATTGCTTTAAGGTAACACCCAAATGGATAGCGTTGATTTCTGACAAAATTGCAATCGATAGTATAGCGAGATGTCATGGTATTACTCCTGATCATTTATATTTGGCCAAATAGAATGGAGTGGTTGAAGCAGAATTCAACATATCTCTGTAGAAGTAATTTCCATAATTTCCCCTTCTTACCATGAAGACGCCACATATGAGAACCTCATCCTAGGTCACCAGAGTACTCTCTCGACTAACTAACTGATCCTGAGATCATGTTTTCCGTACCCCCACCATTGTTCCATTCATCACCAAGCCACCTGGATCACCCTGTATACATACTACTCATTTATTATCATTTTTTAGATCCACCAAGTAGCCCCCAGTCAATGCCAATGCCCATGAACTCTGGGATGAACTACCCATCGGGTGAGTACCTACTTTTGTTCTCAAATTAGTCTATATTTTCGAAATATATATATGCTCATAATTTTTGTCTATGATGACATAGATTATATGAGGGATTTCTTGTTCAAAATTTTGGTCTTCATTTCATGAGATGATCAATATCCCAGCTCATTGACTAGACATAAGATTAATAATTTTCCAACTACAAAACTCTCGATAGGCTGAAGATGGACCCTTTCAAGTCCAAATCATGTTCCTGATTGTTTATATCATCGTCATTAAATATTGTGGAAAAGACTTCGAGAATTCCGATCTTCCTTCGAAATTCCACTCCTCTTCAAGCTATATCTATGTATAGATGAACGTCTAGCAGTAGCAGAGCAGAGCACATATAGGGTGTGCAAAATCGAGATTTTCCAAGTTCAGGATTTTTTTCTGTCGAAACTGTTCATTATTCGTGAAAACGGTTTGCATGTCCCTATCTCAACTTTTCACTCACTATCAATTGGTGTTCAATTGAAATTGATACAAGGTGATCAAATATCTAAATTTATAATTTGTTTCAATTGAATGTCAATTGAACACCAATTGATAGTGAGTGAAAAGTTGAGATAGGGACATGTAAATTGTTCTGACGAATAATGAACAGTTTCGACAAAAAAAAATCCTGAACTTGGAAAATCTCGATTTTGCTCACCCTATATGCCAGTAACTTTCACTGCTAGACCCTAAGTATGATACATCGTTGAAATCAGATCTTCAGGGAGAATTCAGAAATGGAATAAAATATAGGGTGTTCCAATGAAAAAAACATAGCTTTGATGTGCTGTGACCTTACGGAACACCCTGTGTATTTCAAAGAAATTTTGAAATGTGAAGCTCGGTTATCACTTGAATTTGAATGCGAAACTTTTTTTTGTATCTCTCAAGACAACAGAGGTATCGAACTCTGGATTCTTAGTTGGCCACCCTGTACAATTTGTTTCATCAGGAACTCAAATTGCGTTGAAATTCTGTCAAAATTGTGTACATTACTGAAGAGTAGCTATAAAATGGTTACACAAATGGTTACAAAATGAACTCAAAATTTTTTGCCGTGCCCCTACCACCTCACTTCTTTTGATCCATGACTGATGGGACACCCTGTATATATTGATTTGGGTGTTTCGCAGTTTACAATGTGTTAATGAAATTAAATTTTCATTTTTTAGCCCCACCACCCCGAATGCATCAACCTGCACCAACAACAACAAGCAGTAAGTATTATATACAGGGTGTTTCATAATTGAATGCTGATCCTAAATGGCGATGATCCTTGGATGATTTTAAGGAGAGAAGTTCATATCAACATATGTCCTGAACCTCTTAGTTTTTGAGCAACAGGGTGTTGAAATCAGAAGCGTACAGCGTTTTTTTAAACTAAACATTCAATATCAGGTCTACAAGGACATCACTGGTAAAACTAAAAGTTTGATTTTCGTCCCAAAACAAAATGTGTTTCCACTTATAGTGGGTGTCTACTGAATTACCAAAAACAATATCCAAGAACTGAAGGAACAAAATTCTTTGGTTTTTATTTTTTCACGCGAAAACGGTACGTTGTATGAAAGTAAGTCTAGGAACCAAATTTGCTCCAAAATGAATAAGAATTAAAAAAAAAATCTGGTTCTCAGAAAAATCAGTGGCGTACTATTTTTTCTTCCAAAATGGTCAGTTCAAACCCCGTACGGACGCCACTGGTGAGAATTTTCAAATATCTTTCACGTAAAAAAATGCTCCTTAATGATGAAAAGGCGTATACATAATATCATAACAATATCTAAGAGTGATAAAGAATTATGATGAAAAACTCATTTTTTTCTTGAAATTTCATCACCCTGTAGCTCAATAACTAAGAGGTTTAGGACATATGTTGATATGAACTTTTCTCTCTGAAATCATCCAAGGATTATCGCCCTCAAGGATCAGCATTCAATTATGAAACACCCTGTATAGGATTGCTGAAATTCGAGCCTCATCATAGGGACCATGTTAACTGTTAGAGATATAGGGTCGGTGGAATTATGGAAAAGTTGCGCATTCCAAAAATTCGGAATACTCCCAATGATTTTTGGAAGAAAACGAATATTCGCAATTTCACTTTAATTTTTCCATGACTCAGTTCGAATAGATGTAACAATAGTATATTGTGTTTTGAGAAGCATATACCGGGTGGCTACGGAAGTATTGTCTACGGAATATCTCAGTTATTGAATGAAGTAGGTTTGTGAAATTTGGAGCGTCGATATAATGACATAAGAGCTAGAATTTGAGCATATTGACATGTCGAAGTTAACTTCCGGTCTGACCGGAAGTAACATCAACTTTCTTATTTTGAATGGAAACCCTATTTTTTTTCTTTTCGCTTTATTCAGCATTCAATTCCCTTTCTATTGACATATCACAAGTTGGTATCTAACCAGAAACTAAATCAGAAAAACAATATTATTGAAATTCACCGAGTAGGCCGTGGAAGCAAAATGAAAGCCAAAAATTGAAAAGTTGGCTATGGAAACCATACGTCACTTGATAACAGTTGCTACTACTGTGATATTTAATTTTTATTCGTCGGCGTTATAAAAAGCCGCCAAAAAAAATATTGGAAAAATTGGGAAAAAAACAATACTCTGTAGGTGCATAACTTAAATGGGAACATACAACTTTTTCTTGCCTGTACTATTCAGCATAACCATTCCTTTCTAATGATATAATAGAAAGTCAATTTTTGAAATGAAATACCAAAAAATCCAATTATTATTCTTCAAATAACAAAACAAATTATCGCCATACGCAAAAATAAAATTGAAATAATGTGGAATGGAAATAAAATATCACAGTAGTAGCAACTGTTATCAAGTGACGTATGGTTTCCATAGCCAACTTTTCAATTCTTGGCTTTCATTTTGCTTCCACGGCCTACTCGGTGAATTTCAATAATAATTTTTTTCTGATCTAGTTTCTGGTTAGATACCAACTTGTGATATGTCATTAGAAAGGGAATTGAATGCTGAATAAAGCGAAAAGGAAAAATAGGATTTCCATTTAAAATAAGAAAGTTGATGTCACTTCCGGCCAGACCGGAAGTTAACTTCGACATGTCAATATGCTCAAATTCTAGCTCTTATATCATTATATCGACGCTCCAAATTTCACAAACCTACTTCATACAATAACAGATATTCCGTAGGCAATACTTCCGTAGCCACCCGGTATATTACGCACGAATGAAAAAGTTATGGCATTTTCCATAAGAACTCATGTGTTAGAGAGAGACCTTCGTCAAATGATTATACATGTATGTTATGTCAATTAACAAAAAAAAATTGAGCTATTTTAACCTTCTCCTGAAGATGCTAACATAGCGAAACAAGTGTCACTTATTTTATCTCGCATAACTATTCTTAGGTCTCCGACATGATACCACAGTGATGGATACCTATTTTAGTTGATCAATTACAAAGTAGTCTGCTAGTCATTGTCAGAGCGATAATATCATGATACGAAAATATCAAGCAGTCATTGACATTGAAATTCAAGAGGAGAAAGTTTTATTACAGTATGAAAAAATAATCAAATGAAGGTATATTGCTCATATCTTTGATTCAATTCAGATAAGTAAGTAAACATCCCAGTTAACATAGATTGATCCTAGAGATATGAAAGGGGAAAACATTCATGCCACACATCACATCCGTGACTAGAAAAGAGAGTCCCTCTAAAATCACAATGCCTGCTATTCCGCACCCTTTTGGCCATTTTATGATTCACATTATGATGCCGAATGAAACTCACAGTCATTCAACATAAAAATTGATTGATTCAGGTTTCAGTGAGTCTAAAGTGGTTGTTAGGGAGCCTCAAATCAAATGAAATGTGACAAATATTGCGAATGTTATGTAATATAAAGAGTCCCTTGGCTATACCTATGATGTTCTCTCACAAATTGGGGATATTTCCGTCCAGCTGGAAAATTGCAAGAGTACAACCAGTTCCTAAAAAAGGCAAAAAAACCCTACCTAGCAACTGCAGCCCGATCGCACTGCTATCTATTATTTCAAAGATCATGGAGGAAGCTATCAACATCGAGCTCATGAAATACCTGGAACATTCAGGTATTATCAACGATAGGAATTATGACTTCCGTCCTCAGAGATCAACTGGTGACCTGCTCGCTTACGTCTCACATATATGGCAGCAATCTATTGAAAAATATGGTGAAACCTTAGCCGTGGCACTTGATATCTCCAAGGCATTCGATCGAGTCTGGCACCACGGACTCCTTCCCAAGCTTCCATCTTATAGCTTGCCTCCCCAGCTATGTTCTCTGCTAGCTAGTTTTGTCTCAAACAGGTCTCTCCATGTAGTGGTCGGCGGAGTTTCATCTGACACTCTTATCATGAATGCTGATGATCCGCAAGGATCAATTCTAGCACCAACACTATTTCTACTCCATATCAACGATTTGTTGGAAGCAACTTCATGTCCAGTACACAGCTTCGCGGATGATACTACCCTCCATAACACCTTTTCTTCCAGGGCTCCAATACCAGGCAAATCAGAAACGAACGAGGGACAAATGTTGACAACATAAATATGGGCTTGGCATCATTTCCTGAATGGGGATCCAATAACTTGGTACATTTCAATGCAAACAAAACACAAGCATGCCTTTCCTCTGAAAAAGCCGATTTCACTGTGCCCAACATGAGCTTGTCAGAAGTAACCATACCTATGAAGACATCCATTTCGATGCTTGGTATTGATATCAGCAATAACCTTTTTTAGAAAAACACGTAAGATCAATTGCTAAAAATGCATCCCAAAAACTTGGTTTTCTGTTTCGGGCCAGGAGCCTTCCAGTCAGCTACTAATGATCTATAAGGCACAGATCCGACCTGTCCTGGAATACTGTTCCCATGTTTGCATATTTGGAGTGCAGCACCCAAACATACCCTGAAGCTGTTGGATCCTGTCCAAAACAGGGCAATTCGTCTCGTGGATGACACCGTAGAAAAGTTGGCGATCTGGCTCTATTTTATAGATATTTTCATGGACGATTTTCTTCTGAGATATCAATAATTGTTCCTCCCTTTGGCTGTCCCCGCGAGATTAACCCGTCGAGTTGAGGCTTCGCACCCCTTCGTGGTCACTTTGGAGACCTGCAGAACATCTCTTTCCAAAGACTCGTTCATTCAACGAACAGCGAGGCTCTAGAACACATTGACAAGGGAGGTGTTTCCCGAGGCATATAACCAGGAAGAGAAGGTGGTATGGAGGGTAGTATCATCCGCGAAGCTGTGTACTGGACATGAAGTTGCTTCCAACAAATCGTTGATATGGAGTAGAAATAGTGTTGGTGCTAGAATTGATCCTTGCGGAACACCAGCATTCATGATAAGAAAGTCGGATGAAACTCCGTCGACCACAACATGGAGAGACCCGTTTGAGAGAAAACTAGCTAGCAGAGAACAGCAAGCCATAAGATGGAAGCTTGGCGAGGAGTCCGTGGTGCCAGACTCGATCGAATGCCTTGGAGATATCAAGTGCCACGGCTAAGGTTCCACCATATCTCTCAATAGATTGCTGCCATATATGTGAGACGTAAGCGCGAGCAGGTCACCATTTGATCTCTGATGACGGAAGCCATATTGCCTATCGTTGATAATACCTGAAGCAGCCCACCAATTTTCAAAACCCCATCTCGAATAATTCAAAAGTAACAGTCCTGGCCGTTTTTTGTGCACCTATCTGTATATCTATTTTTTGATGATCATAATTCATCTAAGAATATTTCTTTTCAATACTTCCACTCAATCAATGGGTTCAAACTTGAACGATAGAAACTTTTTATTGTTATATAGACCCCTAATAGCAGATTCGTGATTAGGGTTTCTCAATTCAGAATTTCTTTCCACGTCCTGCATGATGAACTGGTACTGGTACTGGTACTGGTGGGGGACGTTTGCACGTCAGCAAATAGTCCCTAATGGGACCTCTTTGCAAGCCCCAAGGTCTTTTTTCAATGACTGATGTGGTTCGCAAGAGAGCTGGCTAACATCCTTTTCAGGCACCGCCCATCAGCTCTCTTTCATAGTTTTTCGGCTGTGTTTTGTAGGTTACTAATGTACTCATTACCATATGCTGCATTGGCAGGCCTCCTAGCTATAATCGTTAACCCCCGTTAAAGACCAAGGTCCACTAAGCAGCTGGCCCGCTCTCACGCTCAGCTGGTAGTTTTGCACACCCACCTACATACACCGTCCTACTTCTTCTCTGATGCTCAAAACCACATCATCATCTCTTTTTGTGTAGGCTTTGTTACTAACTCCATGCGCCACTCTACGAGCAGCACTGTTAATTGGAAGGCAACAGCGAATCGTGCAGGACTATCCCCAGCCGATGATCCGAAACTTCACAATATTTAGCTCGTAAATAAAATATTGAAAAAATTCCTTGCTCGTGCTGGGAATCGAACCCACGACCTTGCGGTCGTGAGACGGACGAATGATGAATATCAATTTGTCATGCCTCCAAAAACGAGTGATTGATTGAATTGAAATTTTTTATCTTTTCGCAGCTGTTGTAGTTGTTGGTGGTGGTGGTGGGGGAGGTTTGCCTGGCTGCCCAGTGTGCCACAACAACAGCTGGGGGAGTACTTGGGGATGTTGCGCCTGGATGTGGTTGATTTGCTGTTTCCCCATCGGAATCCTGTGCTGTTTGTGCATGAGAGAAAAGAAATGCACTCAATGTGGATACACCATTGGCTAGAACCTCCATACCATATTTCAAGGAAAGGAACTACTGGACAATAAACAAGGTCAACCTTGACCGAAAACACTGTTTTAATACAACTGTCAACTTTTTTATTTTGTGTGTCTAAAGTGTACAATTCTTCAATATCCAATAGATATTTACGTAATCAGTTAGGAAACGCGTTCGCTCGTCCCGCAAAATCCCATCGTTACACAAAATGGCGTTTCCTAACGTGTCACGTACAATATTTTTTCTAATTTTGACGACACATTTCGCATGAACAAAAATAATGACCAGTTTTACATGAGTTCTGCCGACTCTTGTTGTGTGAAATGAATGAATGAAATGAACATTACATCACCAGTTATGTAAAATTTTACTTTACGCAACTTCCGTCAGTTTTGAAAAGTGTCACATTACATGTCAAAATTAGAAAAATACTATTACATCATTTTACAGAAAAGTGTGAAGAAGTACACAGGAAAAATATTAGATTTTAGCTCACAACTTTTTTCCTTTGTATAATAACTAACTATATTTGAATTTGCTAGATTAAATGTAGATTTTTAACAAAAGGAAGGAACCTCTAATCTTTAATATCACAATGAAAACAATGAAAACGCTATATACCCAGTTTGTGATCTTGTTCGTGATCATAGTTGAAAGTTTACAAAAATTACCTAGAGAATAAGAAACTTAACAAACATTGACTTTCTACAAATGGTGCTGGAAAAAAAACTTCAACGCTCCATAGATCGGCGACGAAGGGTATTCGGATACATATATTTATAGGAAAAAAGTCTTATTTTGACTTGAAATCTTGACACTTGATTTCGAAATACCCTGTATTTATAACTATGTAAAGTGTGTCCAGTTTTCGATGCTTTTGCCTGATATCTCAGTTATCTTTGGAGATGAACCTTGCGGTTTTCGCGGTCCTGTGCCACTTTTTTGTGAAACTCAAGATGGCCTAATCAGATTTTGCAAGACTGTTTCCGTTTATGAGATACAGGGCGATTTTGAAAATTTATAATTTTTGGATCCCCTCTATATCCACGAAGTTTCTCTTCTCAAAATCTTTACGCATAGATAATTTCACGCATAATCCAGTGGCGCACTTAATTTTTTTCTCGGGGTATGGTTCTTGGAGATACGACCCAAACTTATGATTTTTTAAATGGAACACTCTGTATGTCATATGCTCATTAAATTCCTTATTTTTTTGTCTTCGAAATGATATATAACGAATGAATATAAAATTTTCAAAATTGCTCAAAATCACTGAAATATTGAAATTTGATAGTTGGTTATGGATTTTTCTTATAAAAAACTTTCCAATTGAAGGAATATTCCTTCAAATTTTTCAATGGACAGGTCAAAACCAATAACAACACTTATTACTTAACAAAACACAAAACTTGGGACCTGATAGCGACAAATAAATAGTAATAAAAAGTTTATAATGTAGAATAAGCCTCGGAATAAGCACCTGATTAAATATTAACTAAAACAATTGAATTCCGGAATTATTCATAACTTATTCATTAACATGTTCAAATTGATATCCATTTTCCCTAACATACAGTTATAAAACTTTCTCAATACTTTTTAATACAGTGAGTGGCCCAACATATTTGAAGACCTTTGTGCAACAACAGAGGCAGTTTTCCAGGAATTACAAAGACATCTTTCAATGATTAATATGTATTGAGACAGTTTGTGATGGAAAATGGACATCAATTTGGACAATTCAATGAATAAATCACTGAATAATTTCGAAATTCAATTGTTTTGGTAAATATTCAATCAGGTGCTTATTCTACATTATAAACTTTTTATTACTATATATTTGTGGATATCAGATATCTAAGTCTTGTGTTTTGCAAGTTGATTAGTGTTAAAATTGTTATTTTCCCCTTCATGGAACAATCAAAGGAAATATTCCTTCAATTGTAAATTCCTTTACTTGAAAATCCCTCGAAAAACCCATAGCCCACTATTAAAATTCAATGTTTTAGTGATTTTTGAACATTTTTGAAAATGTTATATTCATACATCATATATCATTTCGAAGAGAAAAAAATAAGGAATTTAATGAGCTTGTAAAATACAGGGTGTTCAATTCAAAAAATCATAAGTTTGAGTCGTATCTTCAAAACCACACCCCGAAAAAAAAAAAACTTTTGTGCGCCACTGGATTCTGCATGGAATTCTTTATGGGTTAAGATTTTAATTTGACATTTTCGCTGATAAACTTCGTAGATATAGAGGGGGTCCAAAAAGTATAAATTTTCAAAATCGCCCTGTATCTCATAAACGGAAACAGTCCTGCAAAATCTGATCAGGCCTTCTTGAGTTTCTCAAAAGAGTGGCACAGGACCGCGAAAACCGCAAGGTTCTATCTCCAAAGATAACTGAGATATCATGCAAAAGCATCGAAAACTGGACACACTGTACTTACATTAATAATATGTATTGGTCTTAGAAATAACTCATCATAAAGAACGTGCTTTTATGAAATTTATTATTTTTGGAATTTTTCAAATGATTGAGTGATTATGGAAGTTTGATGATCAATTGCTTCAATATTTGGTTCTGGGAGTTTTTTACAGTGAGGACCAAAAGTCCGTCGAACTCCTCGTATATAATTTCTTTATTTAACGTATTACGAAAAAATTTTGAATGCATGAGTTGTAGAGTTTTATTCCATCTATTCAATGATTCGAGTTTTATTTATACAGAGTGTCTCAAAAACGCAGCGATTCACAAATTTGTTTTTTGAATTGGAACACCCTGTATATCATTGCATTTCTAGATCCGTCGTTGAATTTTTAACACGTACGATGAATTGTTTTTTAAATCACATAAATAAATAGTTTTGGAATTATGAACAATTGTAAATTATTATTTCGACTACCTATTTTAGCACTAGTTCTGTGATTAAACCGTTACAAATGGAACACAATGTCTTCAACTCGTGACGGACTTCCGTTTCCCATTGTATATTGTTCCTTCATTCATTATTTGAATATTAAAGAAACAATTTCGACATATTTCTCATGTTTCATTGAAAATTATCAAAGTGCTTCGTGTATTTGCTATTTCATAGTTTCAAGTTGATTGAAAAAAAATCGATTGATAACGTCACAGTGTCGACATATTGATTTTAGAAAAAAATGTCTCCTACGCCGCTATTTTAGGAGCAAAAATATCCACTTGTGATATGTCAGTGATAAGCGAATTTTATTATCTGTTTTATCGAATGGCAAACAAATATCTACAGGTTTCATTTCAAAACTATCGACATAGGTCTATTTCATTCATATATTCACCGGCAAAAAAACCGACCACCAAAAAATTTTTCCAAATTGTTCACCCTGTAACTTTTTCAATATTCATCCGATTTTTGTGAAATTTCGATCAGATCGTATATTCATATTTCACAATGTAAGCCTGAATATCAGTTTTCGTGAAAAGCTGATGACTTGATCATTATACAGGGAAACACCAAAATTACTCTTTCGCCTTTATTAACTTCTTAACGCCCTATGGCGAAATTGAGTTGTTGAACTTGGCTCCATCATAGTTTGGATTGAAATGTGATCCTTTCTTAAAACAATACTTTCTGATTCACGTAATGATTTTATTTTTGAGAGGAGAGTGTTTTACGAAAGTAAGGCATTTTTCAATTCTTATTAACAATAATCAGAACCTACATATACGTATTGATTAACAACTTAGAAAATTAATATCATTTTTCTGCAACCGACACAAAAGTCGTCCATTTTGATACCAAAATTAGCTCTTAAATTGACGTTTCTATTACTGACACAAAAATAGGTATGTGGCTAGGCAACATATTCAGTTCGTAGGATCTAAAGTTGAATTTTAGTTCCTAGGATCTAAAGTTGAACTTCAGCTCCTAGGAACTAAAAAGGATGTACTGGACGTCATCAAGAATAAACAACATTGTGAAGGTTGGTTATTCGGGTTGAGACGCAAACCTGATTTGATTTCAGCAGATTTGGCATTCCATACCCATGCTGGAGATATAAATACACCTTATTATAGTTTAGTATTGAAATTATAAATTTCCCAGTTAAGTATTTTTGTTTTGATCAGGGAAGCCTTCAAGATTCAAATACTTGCTTGATCTGTATTTCATTCGTTATTCTCGGGATGGATAACTTGTTTTTGAATAATCACGGCAAGCAATCTTTTTTTTTTGTCTCAAACAGCGATGTTGTTTAGCTTCATTTGATTATCAAGTCAAACACAGTGTAGTATGGAGAGGAATAAATAATCACTATTATCATTGTTGATATGCTCACTAACCTAACATTTTCCACGTCTTGTTCCTATAGCTGGCACTGGCGCGGTATTTGCCATTAGAGCACCTGGTCCATACACAAATATGTCACTCTGTGGTTGTATTTATATTGAAACTACAATTCGAACATCCTAGAAAACCTAACCTGCTGTTAATGCAGGTAGAATATTCTCACTACCTACATGGATTATTTGTCAATATTTGTTGCATTGAATACATATGGCACGGCATTGGTGGTTACTTCACATGTTTATCTGAGTTAATTGTTTCGGTTGCAGAAAAAATAGCATGTTTCATTCGGATCAAAAGTGACTTTCACTCGGCTTCGCTAAACGCTCCGCCTCGCAAATGCAAAATTCGCTTGTCAAACAAAGTGTCACTTTTGATCCTAATAAAACAATCTACTATTATTTCTATGCCCTCCTCGAGTTTGAATTACAAGGATTCAACCGCCGTAGCATTGAGTTGATCAAAGGATCCCGCAAATTTTTAAGATAAATAGGGACCTGGTGGATTCTTCTCAATTATTGGTATGATGCGTAGTTCATGTGGTTCTATAAAATATTATCATTGAGTCATCCCCCCCAAAATGGACAGGTTTTTTGCCAGGGGGCTTTGAATTCACATTTCGATCGAATTGACCATTTATTTCTGAGAAAATTAACGATATTCCAGAACTTTTTATTCCATTTAATTACTTCTAAATATATATTCTTCATGAAAAAATATAATGGGGGGGAATTATTACCCCCAACCTCTATTTTGAAAACCAAGAAAAAAGGATAGCATCTAACTGTCAAAACTGATAGGACATGTTTCATCACGGA